TCTAAGGAGAGAAACTTTTGAAATAAATATAAATTTTTACTTCTATTTTAGGGAGGAATATCAGGGTATACTCACATTCTACATTCCACTTTTTAGCATTAAATGGTCGCAAATTTTTGGTCTGATGGAACGCAATCGTGAAGAACTCAATGTTGAAGATTATTCAATTAGTCAAACGACTTTAGAGGAAATATTTTTAGAGTTTGCAAAATACCAACGAGAAGATCCAAGGGCCATAAAGTGAGCTTTGTGATTTTTTTTAAAGCTGCTTTACTATTATTTTCTGCAGTATTTGGCTTTAATATGCACAAAATAATAATCTACACTAACGCTTACACTTACATACCTAAACACGAAAAACGCACTTTAATATATATATTTATATGTAATTAATTTTGAATACTAATTAATTTTTACTAATTATTTTAATTTGTAGGTTAGCAATTATGATTTTATTATGTAGTTTTAGTTTGGCTTTGTATTATATTATATTTACACAAATTCCGAAAAACTTTACAAAAACTGCACAAACGGATTGAATAATTTAATTATAATTATTTTAAAAATTTAATATAATCTTATAAATATTTGCTTCTTCTTTTACAACAAACGAAACTAAAGCACAAAAAAGGGATACCTTTCATGTTCCTGCTATGGTTAATTGAATTTTGGGTCGTAACTATTATACCTATTACTCAGTGATAAATAATGCAAGTACAATCCTTTACAAAAGGACTTAATATATAGAAGTTTTGAATGAACAGGAAAGATACTACATAATTTTAAAGCTTTAATATGCTGATCCTACCTATTATGAAGCCTTAACTCTAAGCATAGATAGTATTTTTTTATTTTACAATTTTATTGAAGTATTTTTAAATGTCGCAAAGTTCTATATATATATATATATATGTATGTATTATATACAAAAAGAATTTAAAAATTATGTACTCTAAAATTTTAAAGTATTTTTGAATTTATTTTTTAAATGACATCAAAACTAAGGTGCAAGTGCTGTACTTATAAGAACTCATATTTACATATATATAAATATTCATTTTATTTTAGTAAATGTTGTATGTATGAATTTGTTATTTCCTAATGTGTTATTAAATCTTAAGTGTTTATAGTTTTAAATCTTTTTAAATTATAACAAAAAGCTTTAATAAATGATTTACAAATTAGCAAAAAGAAATAAAATTTGTTTGTTATTTATTTTATATTATTTTTATATATAAAATTTATAGTACATCTGTACATTGTAGAATGTGTTTTATATGTTATATTCAGTGTTATCTGTAAAAGTTAACTGGTGTTAATTGTATTGATGAGTTAAAATTTATTATATTATCAACATCATTATCGGCACTATACCAGATGTTTGGTGTAGCCCGCCTTAATAAGTATTTCCAATGTTGACCCATTGCTAACCAACACCATTTTGCTAGGCGCACTTAGGCTCTCACCATGCTGCTCAATTTGTTATAGTCGTTAAGTCATTCATGCGAGCTAGCTGATTATAACACATTATGTTGAAAGATCATTTGGAGGTCTTCGCGTAGAATGGAAAAACAGTGTACTTAAGAGTAATTTCATAATTTTTATCTCTGCTTAGTCCTTATATAGCGAACAAAGTCTAAAGGAGTGAGTTTAGCTGAATATAATAAATTATATGGAAATATTATTTGGTGGAGATCTTCTGGTCGTTTGAAAGAACACTGTACTCTAGAGTAATTTCTAGTCTTACCTACAGTTAGTCTTTATAAAGTAAACAGAAAATAAAACAGTAAGTAGTTTAGCTGAATATAATAGATTATGTGGAAAGAACATATGGATATCTTGTCGTTAAGTAAAAAATGGTTTAAATGGTTTTATGAATCAAAAAAAGTTATGATTTTGTGGTTAGAAGCAAAAGATTTATGTTACGAATCTAAATTGTTACAGAGAATACTGTTATTATTATAAATAACTGCACGGTGTGGAAATTATAATAAATCCCGTATATACATACCCGTAAATTAATAACATAACACGGAAAGGATTGGTCGATCTTTACAAATAAACTCGTAAGTACATTTATTCTTTAATAAATATTTAAGTAGGAGATAATATTTAAGTTGATATCAATATGCTGTAATTAATTATAAATTTTGATTAATGAATACATACTGAAAAAAATAATCTATATTATTATTTAATTGTAAAGTATGATATTTGTTTAAACAAATATAATAAATATTAAAGCAACTACTGTTTAGTAATTTTATTATCTTTCCAAATATAATAAATAACAATAAATTTTAACATTTCTTATTATCAGAAAATATTATTATCTTTTGACCCTCTATCAATCCTAATCTATATGTTAAAATCTAAATGATGCCGAGTTTAAAGATAAGTTCACGTGAGAAATTCAGCGGCATAAAGTACTCCAATTATAATATAATCATATATAGAATTTCATGTGATTCATATGACACACTTCCCGTAAGACCCGTGACGTTCCATAAAATCTATAAAATTGTTTTTGGTTTCGCCAATTTCATATCAACAATTTAGTTAAGTTTAAGTGTACTAATTGAGATATGGATTGATTATCTTTACTACCTAAACAATTTTATTCTTAGACGCAAATATTTTCAGGTATTAAAGAGCAAATATTATTAGAAAACTGTTCAAATTGTTCAGAGTTCTACAGTAGTTAATACTTATTAAACGTTGTGTTATGTTATTTAAAGTATAACTTAGAGTTCATATAAACAATTTTATAAAAAGGATTTTTGCAAAAAAGGACATTTTTATGATATTAAATTATATTAGTTTAAAGTGCGAACAAAGTGAAGTTTTCTACAACTTTTTTGAATAATATATATATGAAAAATATAAACTTTACACTAAATATTACATTTTAGTTCAAACAACGCAGGGATAACGAAATAATATATAATTAATTATAAGAAAATAAAAATTATTTTAATTTATTTCATGTGAAATTAATTATGTATTAACATTGAAAACTTAATATTTACGACAATGTTTTGCAAATAATCAAATTATAAATATTTGATTATATATCATATATATATAAGTAATTGGAAGTAATTGAAATTAAGAAAAAGTAAATGTAATTATATTGAAATACATATAATTTTAATTACTTTTACTAATATAAAATTCAAATTCAAATTGTTATTGGATTTAGAATCCGTTGATGTCCATATGACTTCCTAAATGATGCAAGTTGTCGTCAGTAAAGAAAGAGTAGTATTTGAATGTGAGTCAATGGTGTTATATATAAAAATTTTAAGTGCCTTGTCGCGTATGTATATTGCTAAGATCTCGATACGAAGATCCCTCCGGAATCCCTTTGACGACATTTAGATTTCACAATGCTTTTAAGAGCTTGAAATGATTTGAACTCATAGAGTTTGAATGTTGTATTGAAAGTTTTGCTATATTTTAAGTAGTCAAAAAGGGATTGCATATATTATTTATTTTCTAAACATTTGTTTTTGAAAAAATTTACATATTTAATTCAATAATTCAATAATTCAATAATTTTAATTTATTTAGACGGTGCTTAACTTCTGCAATACCTGAAAATTGTATTGAGATGAATTTGTCAGTGGTAATTTCTATTTTATAATTCTTTTACATACATTTTTGAAATAAAAGGATTTATAATATTCACAGCTACAATTGCTTAATTAGTGAAAATTAAAATTATTTAAGAATATCTCTTTCAAACATCCACCTATCTGTTTCTTCCCATTCTATCAAGTAGTGAAGATTCTCTCATCCTTTTCTGTTTACGTGTTTGCTCTGCAGTACTACCCACAAAAAACATATGGTGGTTTTCATTTAGTGTGTTACAATTTATATAAATATTTTTGTTTATGTTTATATAGATTAATAAACCCCTAAGATAGCTATTGATAAGCTATTTTTGCGTTACTAAAAATTTTTTGGCGTGTGAAATTAAAAAAAATAGTAATTATTAGATTAGATTTCATATCAAGTTTCATAAAATGCATTTTATATGAACTGAAGATATATTTTATTGAGGGTAATTTCTTAAATGTTAACTTATTTCTGGCAGTGAAAATAATATAAATATTAAGGAATATTTAAAAAATAATGGAATTACATTAAAGATATTATACAAATTATTAGGATTAGTTGCTTTCATTATGCCTAGAATTTTGGAAATGTTATATATATTTATTTATAAACGTTATTTAAAAAAAAATAATTTTTATTTATTGATTTTTAGATTTCTCAAAATCAGCTTTAACTTCCATATATATATTGATGAATTTTTTATTGTTCAAAAATGACTAAAACAATTAGTAATTGGGAAAAGTTTAAGCTATTGCTTTGGAAGAATTGGTTAATACAAAAGTTCCATAAATGGCAACTTTTGATTGAAATATTAATACCAGTAATATTCACGTTTCAATTGGTACTACTTCGTGGAATTGTGGAAGCTGAACCAAAACCGTCTGTGGAATATTCACCAGTTAATATATCAAACTTAGACATATTTCTGTAAGTATGCTGAATTCAATAGAGTACGATTATTTTATTATTATATGGGAATACACATTATTCTTTAGATAGTTTATTTTAGTAACTACAATTGTTTTACCATATCGTTAGGTGCAGACTGTTTAATTTTATTTTATATGTTAGAATAAGCGGAATTGAGTCTGTTCTCAAGATGGATAAGCCTGCTGCTGCTTAGTTTTAAATGCATATTCTACATATATAATAAGTCTGAAAGAGGACTAAGAGAGGACAAAGGACTTAAGTTTTTATTTGTTACAGTATATTTTTTTCGTCTCATCATCAAACCGCAAAAATAGCGAAAACTATATAAAGTTGTCAAAGAATATAAATGAGTTAATGATAGTGATCCTGTCATTAGAATTGTAATTAAAAATTCTAATTTTTATCTTAACTATTTGACAGCATCAAATTATGTATGCTGTGTTTGTATGATAATTAACATCAAAATTATTGTATTTCGTTGACTTGACTCTTTCCATAAAGTTTATTGACCAAATAAAAGTGAAAATTACTTGATTATAGTATCGCTAATTTTTAATTATTTGTTACTATTTTTTTTTTTCGGTTAGGTTCTTATCAAATTGATGAACAAAAAAGTAAACAAAACAAATGTCTAGTTTTAGGAATTATTTTATAAACATTTTATAATTCAACAATAGTTGTTGGTATTGCAGAATTTTGAACAGTTTGTGGATTATAAACATTGAAAGTTAATGATCATTATTAGTGAAATCAATTTACTACTATATTTGTTAATTTTGTTCAATCAATAATCAAAGCTAGACGATTTCAATAATATTGACATTCAACATTATTATTATTATAAAAAAAATATAGCTTCGCAACTATAAGATCTCTATTAATGGACTTCGAATAATACTCATTGTCCTTATTCCTTATCAATTAGCGATATTACAACATACAACATATACAACAATACTACTACAATTTCTATATTTTCTGAGATCTTTCATCAATTTATACAAAGCTCACAACAAAGTTCAAATCATATGCTTCGGGGTTCTTATTTCTTATTTAGAAAACTTACACTACTATAATTCTTAAGTAGTTATATGCTATGTTGAAATTGTCCTTGTATCGTCATTGTAGATTCCTCTAAGCGTTATGTAGTATGAAAAATCCAATAGATTTTTTCCGAAGATTCTTTTTTTTACTTCTTCTTACCAGCGTCTGCAAAACCGTTGTTGTCCCCTTCCTTATAAGTTTGTAATTTCTGCATAACGTGGAACCGATAAAATCCACATCTTATTCTTTTGACAATATTAGAGTGTTGTTTTCTGATGAGAAATGAGTGTCTTGATGATGACAGACAGCCACAGTCAAGGTTGCTGCTCTTTGTTTTCGATAGTTATATTAAAATTTAAAGTAGATATACCTATCAATTGAGTATAGTTTAGTTTGAGAGATAGTAGTGTTTTTGGCTAAAGATTTTGAGTATTTCATCTCAAAGATTCCTGCCGCAGTTGCATCGTCAGTGAGTTAGCCGTCCATGTTGCCATATACTAGTTTAACTTAAGTTGTTTCATTAATATCCATTATTACTTAAAAATATTTAGTAATATTTGAAATTATTGATTTTATTATATGAGAATTAAATTTTATAAATTTTTGTTTTAATGCTTTCGATTTTAGTGATAAAATTGTAGAGGAAAAAATACCAAAATTGGAAATTCATTATTCGCCTACCAATCCAATGCTTGAAAATATTATAAAAACTGCTGCAGAATATCTCAACATTAATAGTTACAAAGGACATGAAAGTGCCAGTAAATTGGAAACCGAATTAATAAAAAATAATATATTTGCTGGTGTACAGTTTGATGATGAATGGAGTAACATTATGACATATCCAAACAAGTTTGCATTTTCCTTACGTTTTCCGAGTGAATTACGTACTAGTAGTAGTAATTTTTCTGACACTTGGTTAACAAATAATCTAGTACCGCTCTATACTGAAAATGGTCCGAGGAATAAAGATGATGTAGATGGTGGTATACCTGTGGGCTATGTACGTGAAGGTTTTCTCCCGTTACAAAATGCACTTTCCATAGCCTTTTTAAAGTTGAGCAGTGGTACTAAAGAGCTGCCAGAAATTTTATTACAACGTTATCCCTATCCTGAATATATTTCGGATCCATTATTACAGGGTATTTCATTAACCATACCAATGCTTATAATGTTAAGTTTTCTATATGCAGCCACAAATATTGCCAAGGTTGGTCTGTAGTATTTTCTTATATTAATAAAATTATTAACGATGATATTATTAAAAATTTAGAATGTGACTATGGAGAAGGAGAAACAACTTAAGGAGGTCATGAAAATAATGGGTTTAGATAATTGGTTGCATTGGACGGCATGGTTTGTGAAGGCATTTGTCTTTTTGTTAATATCAATTATAATAATGACAATATTCTTTAAGGTTAGTCAAGTTGATTCCAATTGATACAGATGAAACCATTATATTGATTTATTAACAGATACAATGGAGTAATGATGTCGCAGTTTTCACATATTCAAGTTGGTCTGCTTTAGCATTTTTTATGATTATTTACGCTATTACCACGATATGTTTCTGCTTTATGATGGCCACATTTTTTTCGAAGGCCAGCACTGCTGCTGCTGTAACTGGCTTGGTTTGGTTTGTGACTTACTTGCCCTATTCAATTGCAATATATAGTTATGCAGACATGAGTTTATTTATGAAACTTATGTGGAGTATGATTGTAAATACTGGTATGGGTTTTGGTTTCAAAGTCATACTTGATCATGAGGGCACAGGTGAAGGATTGCAATGGAGCAATATGTTCTCATCTCCTTCAGTTGATGATGAGTTATCTGTTGGGCTTGTTTTAGTAATGATGTCATTGTCATGTGTAGTGTACATGGTAATATGTTTGTACTTGGAACAAGTCTTTCCGGGTGAATATGGTGTTGCGAAGAAATGGAATTTCCCATTAAAAATATGCAGTTCTCATAACAAGAACGGACACATGCATACTGATAACACACATATGGATACAGCTGCACAAAATCCCGAGGCTTTTGAAGTAACCGGTACAAATGGAAATGTGGGCATATATGTGCAAAATTTGCAAAAGAAATTTGATAATAAAATCGCGGTAAAAAATTTAACAATGAATATGTTTGAAGATGAAATAACAGTTTTACTGGGACACAATGGTGCTGGAAAAACTACAACAATATCCATGTTAACTGGAATGTTTTCTCCCACAGCTGGTTCAGCCATCATAAATGGATTTGATATACGTGAAAATATAGAAGGTGCAAGATCATCTTTGGGTATTTGTCCGCAGCATAATGTGCTATTCGATGATATTACTGTTGCCGATCATATTGAATTTTTCAGTCGATTGAAAGGACTTTCAGGTAAAGCAGTAAAAGAAGAGGTTAAATATTACTTAGAATTAATACAACTTGAGGATAAAGCAAATGTGGTATCTTCAAAATTATCTGGTGGTATGAAGCGAAAGCTGTCTGTTTGTTGTGCTTTATGTGGTGACACAAAAGTAGTGCTTTGTGATGAGCCTAGTTCAGGTATGGATCCTGCTGCTAGACGACAAATGTGGGACTTGTTACAGACTGAAAAGATTGGTCGCACTATATTATTGACTACACACTTTATGGATGAAGCTGATGTATTAGGTGATCGTATAGCAATTATGTGTGGTGGTGAACTCAAATGCTTGGGAACTTCATTCTTTTTAAAGAAGAAATACGGATCTGGTTATCACTTGGTAAAAAGTTGAAACTTAATTTTGTTATAAATTATTTGAAATAATTTGTTTTTGTTTCTATTAGATATGCGTGAAACGTGATAATTGCAAAGTATCTGATGTAACAGCGCTTCTTAATAAATTTATACCAAATATGGTTCCAGAAAGCGATATTGGCACAGAATTGTCCTATCAGCTACCTGATAGCTTCTCTGCAGTATTCGAAGATATGTTTGCCGCTTTAGAGCAAAACTCAAATCAACTTAATTTAAATGGTTATGGTGTAAGTATTACATCTATGGAGGAAGTTTTTATGAAAGTAGGTGCTGAGGAAAATTATGATATATCTGGTGATCATCAATTGATGAATATTAATGGTTAGTAAGAAATTTATTTATTTTTAACGATATTGAAAATCTCTATTATATTTTTAGCTGTTGCAGCTATAACTGATAAGAAATTTTCTCAAAATAAGAGCAATATAACTTTCAATCAATGGCATGCAATGCTTTTCAAGAAAATACTCTACACCTATCGCAATAAAATACTTTTCGCTGTACAAAACTTAATACCAATCTTATTTTTGGTGACGACAATATTATTTCTACGATCACAAGGCACTTTTAGTGAAATGAAACCGATGAATATCGGCATATCACAATATCCTGTAAGCACAACAATTTTAGAAACAGTAGGAAATATCGAAAGCAACTCACTTGAGGCTGTTATTGCGTCAGCTTATAAATTCATAGCAACATCTATAAGTGATAATCATAGTTTCGATACGACAGGAACAAAAACATTTCCGGAGTTTATAATGGAGTTGGGTCAAGATATACAAGTGCGCGTCAATTCACGATATTTGGCAGCAGCTACTATTTCAAAGGGACGAATAATTGCTTGGTTAAATAATCAACCTTTGCACACAGCACCACTGACACTAAATATGGTACATAACGCCATGGCGCAGTAAGTAATTTAAATTAAAATATATAATAAAGTTGATTCTAAACATATATCAATTCATATGTTATATGTAGTGCTCTTATTGGTCCAGGTAGTTCAATTTCTGTTATTAATGCACCTTTACCATATACAGCTGAAACCATATTTTTCCAATTAAATATCGGAAATAATTTGGGCACACAGTTGGCGTCAAATATCTGCTTTTGTATGTGCTTTGTGAGCGCCTTTTATATACTATTCCTTATAAAGGAGAAGGAGTCACGTTCTAAGCTCCTACAATTTGTCGGTGGTGTTAGGGTATTCACATTTTGGCTAACCCAATTTCTTTGGGATATATCCACTTTTACAATAACGGTTATAATAATAATTGTAACCTTAGCCATTTTCCAGGAAGAAGGACTTGCCACGTTTGATGAATTGGGTAAATAAATTACAACAATTTTTTTTAATTTAAAGATTGAAGTATAATATGTTATATATAAATAGATGTAAAATGTATACAATTTTGTAGAAAAAGTATCTAGAATTTATAATTTGAAAAATATGCGAAAATATTGACACATAATTTTATGTTTCTTGGTAAGTTGGCAATCGGTTCCGTAATAATGCCATCGTTGTGCATGAATGATTGGAAAAAAAATTCAAACAATCTGATTGACTAAACATAGTACTCATCTGACTGGGCACCGAGTGATATTTTTATTTTCTCGAAATTAAAATTATCTTTTTAAGAAAGTCATTTGCAGTTGATAATCAAGTCAGAGAAGAAGTATAGGACATACTTCAATCAGACCAGAGAACTATATGGAGGCTTGACCCAATTGCTGGAATAGTTGTATTGCACTTAATGGGGTCAAGTTTGAATGAGACAAATAAAATTTGGATTAAATGCTGATTGTTCTTGTGTTTTATTTAATAATTTTATATAATGTAATAAGTACATAATCAAAGTATAACAACATATGTTATATATATATTATTTTATATATATAATTTATAATACAATAATAATAAATTATATACATAAGATGCAAAAAATGTAGATTATAAATAATTCATGAGAAATAATAATATATTGAATATTTTTAGATATTTAAATAATTTCCGAATATATTTTTATAATGGAAAAAATTTTATTTCTGATCTATTTAGGACGTTACTTTTTAATGATATTTGTGTTTGGAGTATCGGTGATCCCTTTTACATACTTGCTCTCCTATCTGTTCAAAGAGCCTGCAACAGGATTTGCGCGTACTTCCATTCTTAATATTTTCACAGGTAATGTTTGACATCTCTTAATTTGAAATATAAAAATAAATTTATTTATTTTAAATTTTGTATAAATAGTAATAACAATTTAATTTATTAAATGTTGAATATATAAAAATTTTACACCATATGTAATTGCAAATTTTTTACCATCGATTTTGACAGGAATGATAACATTTATGTTTGTGCTTGTATTATCATTTGACTTTATTGGAAGTAAAAATATCGCTGATGCTCTACAAATAGTATTTCGGGTATTCCCGCATTTCTCACTAACGAATAGTTTAAATAAACTTTATTCGAATGTAGCTATAAGAAATGCTTGCAACAATCAAATTTATGATGAAAATGTTGGATCCTTGTGTGATTTGATACCACAGTGTTGTAGTAAGTAAATATTATCCGTTTAAATTTTATATAAAACTATTCAAAACTTACATCAACGTAGCCAATGAAGAATATTTTGCCTGGAAAAGTCCTGGAGTGCTCCCTGAACTACTCTATATGTTAATAACAGCCGCATTATTTTTTGCGATGCTAATCGTAATAGAATATGGATTAATTGGAGAAATTTTGTATAAGATTAATTGCAAAAATTGGTATGCACGTAAAAATGTATTAACAAAAATGATTTTATTATTAATCATATAAATAAATTTATAGTTCCAAGAAATTAACAGCTCCAGAAAATGGTTTTCTTGACCAGGATGTGGCTAATGAAAGGCATCGTGTAGCCAACATGTCAACAGCTGAAGTGAAAGAACAAAATATGGTATTGGATCGTCTTACGAAATTCTATGGAAAATTCTTAGCTGTTAATCAAGTATCTTTAAGTGTTAATAGGTGAGAAATTTTAGTTACATTAATACTTCAAAAACTAAAATTCTTTAATTTATTTTATATAGAAATGAATGCTTTGGTTTGTTGGGTGTGAATGGCGCTGGAAAAACAACTACATTTAAAATGATGACCGGAGATGAACGCATTACTTCTGGTGTGGCTTATGTGAAAGGGATGAATATTAAAAACGAACGAAATAAAATATATCAGGAAATTGGTTATTGTCCCCAATTTGATGCGCTATTAGATGATTTCACTGGACGCGAAACTTTAATAATGTTTTGTTTGCTACGTGGAATAAGTAAACAACACATCTCTGAGTTAATAGAACAACTGGCTAGTTCTTTTGGGTTTACTCGACACTTGGATAAACAGATCAAAGCTTACAGTGGTGGTAATAAACGTAAATTAAGCACTGCTTTAGCAGTTTTGGCTTCACCTGCAGTGGTATATCTGGATGAACCCACTAGCGGCATGGATCCAGCTGCTCGTCGTCAATTATGGAATATGGTGTGTCAGATACGAGATACAGGAACTTCAATAGTTTTGACTTCACACAGCATGGAAGAGTGTGAGGCATTGTGCACACGTTTAGCTATCATGGTGAATGGTGAATTCAAATGTATTGGTTCCACACAACACTTGAAAAATAAATTCTCTAAAGGTTTAGTGCTTAAAATGAAGCTTAAACGTGCGATTGAAGGAAATGCACATTATTCGAGAAGGCAAGTTGACGTTTTAAGTTTAAGTCATTTCGTCTAACTAATTATTTTGTTTGTATTTTTGTATTATAGTTTCAGTAATTCGGATATAATACCAAATAAAACTTTTCAAAATATGGAACAGCACATCCAAGTTGTGAAATCATTTGTATTGAGACATTTTCCACATGCTGCTTTGCAGTAAGTATGAGTTTTGATATAATTATTATGGTATTCACATAAATTACATTAATGCATTTTTATCTATGTACTTTATTAATTTGTATATTCTTGTATTTTTTTTTTAAATTTAAGAGAAGATTATCAGGGCATATTGACATTCTATATCCCACTTACAACAATAAAATGGTCTCAAATGTTTGGTTTGATTGAACGAAATCGAGTTGAATTGAATATTGAAGACTATTCGATAAGCCAAACAACATTGGAGGAGATTTTCCTAGAATTTGCAAAATATCAACGCGAAGATACAAGAGCGCAGAAGTAATATGTTAGTGGGGCACTTACTAAAGACTAGACTTAATTTTAATACATGGGAGATTGTGATGAATTCATTAAACATTAAATATTTTTAATATACGAGTGTACTAGTCTCATTATAACTTTAGTAGAAAAATGAAAATCAAATAAAATTGTATTCAAGGATACTTTTTATAAGATTAGATATTTATAATAGTATGTAATTGAAACTATATAAACTATGAAATAAAAACTTTATAAAGTTATGTAGCAAGTTAAAACTTGTGTCATTAATCAAATGAAAGTTTTTAAAACAATTTTTAAATATGTTATGACTAGCACAGGATTAAAAAAATATCAATTTTAATCAATAATGGTAAAAATTTTTGCATCAAAGTTGATATTGATTAACAAATGCCTTCCAGTTTTTAAAAATACACTCCGATATGACTTAGAATTCGTTCAAAAAATGTTGTAATGAATCCTTAATTGTGGCAGTTACAATTAATTTTGATCAGATCTAAAATGAATCTGAATGAAATATTGTTTATGTCGTATTTTTAGCCATGAATTTCACAGTAGTCACTTAAAACGATCATCTATTATAATTATATAAAATCAACGAATTGTTCCTACACAGATCTAGCTCTTCAATGATGGTAAATAATATTTTTGATTAGGTGGCTCTGTAAAATAAATTTATTATTTACCAAACTAGAAATACCGTAAAATATGTTTCTCTTTGTGTACTAACTTGATGACTGTCGATTTGTTTGCAGGCCTTACTCACAGGCTTATATCTAATCATTAATTATTTGTTTATTGTATGAATATCTAAAACAGAAGAATCACAAATAAATAGTTAAATGACTACTAGATATTTAAATATTTAAAAGCCCAATAAACTGAAATAAAATTTGTTTTAGTGGTCATCAATTGTAGATCGGTTATGGATCGTTTATAAGAAAGCAGCGGGTAGTCATAAAAAATGCTGGTGACAGTTTGGTACCAGTGACGATCAATATGAAGAATTTTATAAATATATGATAATATTAGGAAATTTATATATCTGAACAGATCTTATAGTACTGTTTTTAAAAATTTCATTTGCTTTAAAATACAAATACATGAAATATGTTAGATCATGAATAAACTTTCTAAAGTCCATTTGGTAAATAACAAAGCATAATTATTATCATTATTACTTTTTTTCATTTATGAAAAAACTTCAAAGGACATGCAGAACAATTGACTGATATGTATTTCTGTCCACATCTTCTGTTTACATAGATATGTAAGACTATTAGGTATGTTTTCAGATATTTTTCTTGAAGTAAATCATTAACAACTGATTAATAAATAAGCCCTCGTCACTATGACCAAAATTTTAATTTACATTGCAAACAACAATAATTTCATATATCACGTGATCATGACTAACTGCAGAATATGACTTTTCAAATAATTTTTTCAAACATTTATTAAAGTGAATGTTTCAAATATTTTCCCTAAAAACTTTCAATATAACTTTTAAAAAAATATATAAGATATGGAAACTTTCATTCGGCCCTTAAAAAAAATACGACATTTTTCAAAATACGTCAATGTTGAAAGTAGGAATATTTTTTGAATGAAATATTATAATCACTTGTTTTGTAAATGACAATATAATAATTTATATAAATAATAATTTCTAACTTAATGTACAAAACGTGAACAGGTGGACTAATTTTTTTTCTTTTTACGAAAATGTTTGATAAGGTTTATTATCAACGCGTCGCAGTGAAAGTATAATAATTCATATTTTGATAAGTTTTTTAGCAAAACCTCCTATTTATTACCTAAAGCACTGTACTTATAAATGACTAAGTATAATACTAAGGTTTTTGTTGTTTTGTATATACAATTAGCGGTAATCAAGTACCATTAGTTTTCGAATACATTGTTCAATACATGGGGGTGGAGTAGATAGAGACTATTGTAAGTGCATATAAAAAATAAAACAAAAACGTTCCAAAGATGACAGAAATTATCTTAATGACGTTTATTACATTTTAGATAAACCAAACAATATTTAGATTTATGGGAATAAAATTGCGTATATATAAATTAATTCAAATTATATATATAAATTTATAAGTACATGACATATGTGCATAGAAAATTTTAAAAGTACATATATGTAATAAAAATTAAATTACTTATATACAATATAAGTAATATATTATATTATATGCATATATATATATATTATATATAATATATATATTATGTATATATATATATATATTACTTACTTTATATAGATAAAATTATAGATTAGTTTAATTAAATACATTATATATGTTATTCATAAATTAAAAACTTCTATGCATTTTAATATTTTTATATATATAAATAAATAAATTTTTTTATAACATTCTTTATAAATTACAAGAAAAATAAAATATGTAGTAAAAATAACCTCTTTTTGTCTTAAAAAAATTTTTTTATTAGATTATTAAAACTAACATAATAATCTTATTATATCGATTAATAAGATTAAACCAAAAATACTCATATTTTTCAAATAGTTTTTATGTAGAACTATTGTTTTACAGAGTTTTTTACGGAGACATAATATGTTAATAGATTATACTCTAATTGAAAATTTGGAAAAAATATTAATTAGTTATTGTGACTTTTAATGAGTCTTATACCTTCCGGGATTTTTATATTTGACTATATATTTTCAATAAAGAGGCCATTATCATGTGAGTAAAATTTCTAATTCGAATTTACCCAATTTATTTCATTTTGGTTATCATTTCTTTTATCAATACATATAATAATAATTCTCTATGTATTTACAAATTTTGAGTAAGTTTTGGAAAAAAGATTGCGTAGGGCATATATATAGCACTGAATATCCAAAGTAAATTTAGTGTTAGAGTTTTAACTGTGGTATCGGGTCGTAGAGTTGCAAAAGTCGTAAAGGATATAAAGACGGAAATAATTGTGTTCAAAAGTAATTTAACAATATTTTTTAAAACTATAAATTTAAAAAAAAATTTGTGTTGTTATAGAGTATTTACTGAATATCTTCAAAAATACAATTTTTCTTAATATTCCATATTTTATTACATGTTTTTTATGCAATTTATTATAAGAAAATGAGTAAAAATGAATATATCCATATTTTGTTTGAATAAAAGTGCGTCTTCTCTTGATAGTATTAAAAATTATTATTAAAAATGAAGTAGTAGAATATTTTCTGATTGTCAGTTATAAAACTGAATTCATAAAATTAGTTTATTATTATTATTATTAATTAATTTATTAAAATAAAATGAATAAACATATTTATTTTTAAACAAAAATGCTTACTTTTAGTCAAAATAAAAAAATAAATAAAAGGAGTAGAGGGATTGAATTAGGACTAAATGTCCTAATGTAATCTTATCTGATCATTCGTTATAAAAGTAAAGAAAGAGAGCAAGCGAGACAGTGATAAAGAAATAGAGAGTGGAGAAATAGAGAGAAAGGGAGAGAGAGAGAGAGAATATTACAGTAATTACAAAACAGTAACTACTTTAATTAGAAGAATTAAAAAATTTTATGTTTTTATTTAATTGCATATAAATCCAAAATAAAAAATTTAAGTAAATATGTTTGTTATAAAATAATCTTTCTTTATCAGTAAAAAAAATAACTAAAAATTATATAATTGTTATAATAATTATAATAATGTTATAATAATTATAATAATGTTATAATAATTATAATAATATTATAATAATTATAATAAAGTTACAATAATTATGATGTTATTATTAATATAATTTTGAATACATTATTATAATTTAATTAAATTAATTTTAATTTTTGTGTTATAAATTAAATTTTTAAAAACTAATTTTTTATCTGATATTGATGTCTCTGAATTTATAATTCATTATAAACAAGGGAAGAACAATAAAAAATTTTTCATTTATAAATTAAAACATATATGTTAATGGGAATGGGAAAACCTGACATAATTTATTTACATGATATTTTTATTAACTATTATATATTTCTTGGATTGCAACTTTTTAATTTAAATACGAAGCTTTCAACTTTTTCAACATGTTTAAATTTTTTTCCCTAAGAATTCTTATTATATATAAAAGATATTGTTTGGATAACAGTTCAAAAATCGTTATAAAAACTCATTTCTTTGTAATTAAATAATGAGTCACACATAGAAGTTAAAAGTCCTCATTAAATTGTCAAATAGTCAAATCATCCGTCAATGACGGATTATTTTTGATGATAATTTAAATTAAATCTCGTGACTAATGTGTGTTTCCTGTTTAATTTTTCTCAAAATATAATAAGCATTCTAGATTTAGGTCACGAGAATTACGATTCATTTTTAAGTCCCAAAAAAGAAATAAAACTGAACTAATGTATATTTTCTTTATAAAGTTTTGATATTATCAAAAAGTAGCAAATTTTGTGATACTAAGTACATATAGCGAAATAAGCTCGCCATTATACAGACAGAGAGAGAGAGAAAGAGAGGTAACAAGAAGTGATATATGGAAAATGTGCAACAAATAATGAATATGCGTACAGTAAATCAACAAATAAATAAAAAATTTGAACAGAAGAGACATATTCTTACTCCTATGACCCAGAAAAATAGAGAGACAGCGAAACAAGTTAAGAGAGGGAAAGAAGCATGCAGAAAAGTAAGAGAAAAAAGAAAGCAGTAGAAAGCCAAAAACAAAAATTAAGTAGAAAAGAAAGAGAAAACATTTATTGAACAGCTGAAAGAGGATAACAGATATATATATTTTTAGTTATATGTGTACTTAACAATATAAGTAGTAGTTATGGTAGTACAGTACATATATATAGATTAAGGTCATGTGTGTTTAGTCTAGTGACAAATTATTCTATACGCAATTCAGAACTCTCTTAATATTGAACAAAATCGTAAAAATGGAATGAAGAGAAAGAAAAAGTGAGGTTGTGTGATACTAGTTAATCATATAACTGTCACTATATTAAAATTTTAAATTTGTCTAAAATTAAGTCGTTAAAACTAGTAATTTTGAATTAGACTTTATAATATACTTTATATTTGAATATGTCTCTTCTTTAAGAGCATCCTGTTCAATAAATTAAAGTACTTTCTTATGAATTTTTTTAGAAAATCATAATTTTATAAATGAAATATTAAATATAAAAATATTAGATTTATAAATGCCACACAAAAACTATCATTAATAAAAATGTGATTAAATTCTTTTTGAAATAAAACGTTTAATGCGGAAAGGTAAAATACGTTTGTTATTAAATAGTTTATTAATAAATAATAATTTTATAAAAATTATAATATCTAAAACTCTAAAAACTCTAAACTGTATAATTCAGTTCAGTAAATCAGCTTATTTAGTTGCAAATATATACATATCAAAATTCAGTCTATCGACTTAATAGAACAGAAAAGTGTCTAAAATATAATTATGACAATACTAAAGCTTTACTTCAATTAATTAGTATTATTAATTGTTTAAACAAATTATTCATAATATATTCATAATTAATAACACAGTTTAACTTATTGATTACCTCTGGCATGTGTTGGCAGCCGGTGGCCTTTTTAAATAGGTTGAGTGTGTTCTGCAAAACTAAAAAGAAAATTTCCTTTAAAATTATAGAATTTGTGTCGATTTAATTAATTTGCGTAATTAATTCGTTACAATTCTTATACAACTTAAAATTTTGTGTACCATTATCACTAAAGTTAATAGAAGCTGTTCGGCTTTAAAAAGGTTCCATACCTCTGGGTCTGCAAGAATACCATAAATAAAAAATTTTGAGTCATCCTTGTCATAAACGAATTATGCCTCCTCATTACTGATATGGAAAAGAATGAATTAAAATAAAAATACATGTAAATATTGATAAGGTATATGAAACCAGATATGACTAGTAAAAATTATTGAAATATTTTTAGAAGTAGACGTTGGGAACAGGTGTGCATTTTTTTTAAAAGTGTAAAATCATTTTGAATAGTAAAAAAAGATCTTGTGAACAATTATTATCTTAAGTACTATAATCAGTTTAACAATTAAATATATGCACAATAAATGATTATTGATTAGGGAAAATATTTCTAAATGAAAATATTTATTTAATGGGTTTGGTTATAAGCTATGTAATATTTTTTTTATCAAACTATAAATATTTTACGATTTTTATAACTTTACATACAGATATTCTCATACACATTTAGATATTTCGTTTAACAAGCCCCACGTCTAAATTATAACCCATGAGATTATATAAAGGGTAGTCATACTCTATGACTACTATGAAAACACATTTTTAATTAGTTTAGAATAATATTTGTTATCTTTGTTTTATAGTACTTTTTCCTGTTATTTTTGTTTTAGATATATTTCATATTTATTCTTTTATTTTTATTATATTTTTCGTATTAATAAAAACTATATTTTTTACAGTTTCCTAAGTTTACTGAACTATAGAAAATGATTCAGAAAGTCAGTAATTGGGATAAATTCAGATTGTTGTTTTGGAAAAATTGGGTACTGCAATGGAACCACAAAATTGCATTTGCCTCTGAATTTATCGTTCCGATCATTTTTGCTTTACTTCTGGTTCTAGTACGTACGCTGGTAATTGCCGAGCACAAGAATGGCATCGAATATCCGCCAGTGAATATTACAAATTTAGAGTTATTCGAGTAAGTATATTTTAACAGTGTACCTTCACATAATATATAAATATAAAATATAATTGATTGATTTATTCTGTATAGATTTTAAATAAAATAATTAACAAGTAAAGAACATGAAAATTGTTATGTTATGATTGTTATTGTAATATTATTATTGTTTTACCATAATACATTACAATTGTATTTATTTTTATCAGATTGATGATTCATAGAATGTTCTTTTATAAGATAAAAGACTGATTCATATTCTTGTAGACATTTTATGAATAAGTTTCACTGATTTTAATTGATAAGTGTTAATATAATAAATATAATTTGCGTTGCATTATCTAAACCCAAACTAAACATATAATATATAACAATGTCTTATTGCATGACACATCTTACTAAATTTTGATTATATTTTCTAAAATTTAGTTTCATTTTAAACTAAGTAAGTTGTGTTTTAGGAATAGGAGTAAACGGGGTATCAGCTCCAAACGAAACGGAGCACAGCAACCATCGTTGATCTTCTGTGCTGCATTAGATCCTAACCGAACAGAAAACATTCCGCTTTCCGAATGAAAGACAGAATGTAAGCCTTAGAGTACTTCTCCTAATATCAGAAGTGGAGAGTAGTTCTCGACTTAGTGACCTCCTCTTGTCTCAGATCAAGGCTGAGCAGAGTTGACTTTTAGTTTAAGCTACTTTTTTTATTTCATCCAGAATACATATCTTTTAATAAGTATATTTTTAATAATTTAAATTTACAGAGCAGATATTAATAATGTTTAATAATTGCTAGTAATGCCTTTCATTCATTATCTTTCACTATCAATAGTGTTTATAATCATTAGTAGATATAATGTTACAATGTAATGATTTGTTAAATTGCCTTGGTTATTTTGAGAACAGTTATGGTTAATATAAATATTTAACAGAAAATAGATATCAATTCATAACATAACATTTCACAATAGTGCAAAGTCAACAGACTTCTGTTTCGATATTTTTATAGCGGCTGCACATATTTTGATAATATATATATAATTATATTAACATGATTAACATGATAACATGATAGAACTTCATTTTCTTTGCGGTTGTCATTAGTTGTAGAAAAGTTTTAGGTTGTGAACAGCTTTAATCTATACATACTTTAGTACAACACTTAACCTTGTCATTACATCAGCGTCTTCAATTAAGTAAATAAATAATTTAATATAATACTTGAATTAAAATAATGTTTAGTGAATAATTGTCATTTTATATTATATCAAATAATTTGAAAAAAATATTTACTATACGCTCTTGTTTTTAATTTTATTATTAACAGCGAAGAAGTTGTTGATACATTGCGGCCTTTAATGGAATTACATTACTCACCAGAGAACCCTATATTGGAAAAAATTATACAACTCACTACAGAAACTTTAAATATATCTACTTATAAAGGACATCAGAATGCCGCTGCATTGGAAAATTACCTAACTAAAGCAAATTATTTTGCGGGCATACAATTTGAGGACTCACTTTCTCAAATAACGGAATACCCTAAGCAAATATCTTTTGCAATACGTTTCCCAAGCGAATTACGCACAATTAGTTTAAGTATTGATTTTACATGGCTAACGAATAGTCTGTTTATGCCGATTGATTTAAGTGGGCCAAGAGGTGTTGACGATGCTGATGGTGGCGTACCAGTTGGGTACATACGTGAAGGATTCTTACCACTGCAAAATGCCTTATCTTTAGCTTACATAAAATTAGCTAGTGGAGCAGAATCTTTACCCGAAATCATAATGCAACGTTTTCCGTATCCAGATTATATATACGATCCACTTTTACAGGGTATAACTACACTTATACCAACAATAGTATTGTTATGCTTTATATATTCTGCCATCAATACAACTAAGGTGAGAAGTTGTTTTAATTTGTTATTTCAATTCCAAAATAAAAATCAATATTTGATGTTTATGTATATTTTAATGTAATATGCTTTCCTTTTTCTCAGAATGTAACAATGGAAAAGGAGAAACAGCTGAAAGAAGTTATGAAAGTTATGGGCTTGAGTAATTGGTTACATTGGGTGTCGTGGTTTGTTAAAGCTTTCCTTATTTTGGCCATAACTTCAATATTGGTAGTAGTTTTGTTTAAGGTATATTTAAATATAATATATTTAAATGAATGTAAATAAAATAATAATTAACTGATGGTTCTTAACAGATAAGATGGTCCAATGATGTAGCAGTTCTTACATACTCTAGTTGGACAGCAATGATCTTCTTTATGTGGATATATTCCATTACCACAATTTGTTTTTGCTTCATGTTGTCTACTTTCTTCTCGAAAGCAAGCACTGCTGCAGCCGTCGCTGGACTTGGATCATTTATAACTTACTTACCATTTAGTTTATTATTGTATTCTTACGATGATCTTAGTTTAGCAGAAAAATTACTTTGGAGCTTGCTTTCAAATTCAGGTATGGGTTTCGGTTTCAAAGTTATTTTAAGTCACGAAGGAAGTGGAGAGGGTTTACAATGGAGTAATATGTTTGATGCAGCTACTGCAGATGACAGCCTATCACTTGGGGCTGTAATTTTGGTTATGTTAGGAGCATCTATTCTGTACATGCTAATTTGCTTATATGTGGAACAAATATTTCCCGGTGATTTCGGTGTACCACAAAAATGGAATTTTCCATTCACAAAAACGTTTTGGTGTGGTGTTGATAATGTAGATTTTAGTGATAATGACATTGGAATAGAACGACAAAATCCAGATGCTTTTGAAGCCGAACCAAAAGATAAACATGTGGGTATACATGTTAAGAATCTCAAAAAACAATTTGGTGAAAAAACGGTTGTCAAAGGTTTGAACGTTAAGATGTTCGAAAATGAAATAACTGTGTTATTAGGGCACAATGGAGCAGGAAAGACCACCACCATATCTATGTTAATCGGCATGTTTCCTCCGACTGCTGGTACAGCTACTATTAACGGCAGCGATGTTCGCACAAATACACAGGGTGCACGCATGTCATTAGGAATCTGTCCACAACATAATGTACTATTTGATGATCTCAGTGTAGCTAATCATATTGTGTTCTTTAGTCGATTGAAAGGATTAAGAGGAGCAGCCATACAAAGAGAAGTAGCTAAGTATTTAAAAATGATCGAATTAGAAGATAAAGCGAATGTTGCATCATCTAAATTATCTGGTGGTATGAAACGTAAATTATCAGTATGTTGTGCTCTATGTGGAGACACTAAAGTTGTACTTTGTGATGAACCCAGTTCTGGTATGGATCCAGCTGCTAGACGACAATTGTGGGATCTATTACAAGCTGAAAAAGTTGGTCGAACTCTTTTGCTCACAACTCATTTTATGGATGAAGCTGATGTTTTGGGTGATCGTATAGCAATTATGTGTGATGGTGAATTAAAATGTCACGGCACTTCGTTTTTCTTAAAGAAAAAATATGGTTCTGGTTATCATTTGGTGAGTATTTAAGTATATAGAAAATATTATAGTAATGTTTTATTTTACGAAATCTTAATGCACACGTAGTTAAATTGTTTATAGAAAAGCATATTAGATACATTATATTTTTATATATAGCTTGGAATATATAAAAAGAAGTCAATATTCAGTTTATTCCCTTCAAAAAATTATTGTTAGTAGCAATACATTTGGTTTTATTTTTAATTTTATTTCTTATACCTTGTTTTATATAATTTTCAGATTTGCGTGAAGCGAGATAATTGTGATGCCAGTAAAGTTACTTCTTTACTGAATGAATTTATACCAAATTTACAACCAGAGTCGGATATAGGTGCAGAATTATCATATTTATTACCTGACTCTCATTCCGATAAATTTGAACAGATGTTCGGTGCTTTAGAACTCAGGTCAGATGAACTCCAATTAAGTGGTTATGGAGTTGGTATTAGCTCAATGGAAGAAGTATTTATGAAGGTGGGTGCAGAGAATAGTTCAGATGGTGAGGCAAAGCAACACACTGATATAATGAATTTCGATTATGGCAATTTAGATAGAAAACCTACGCAATGTAAGTACAAATTTTATCTATTTAATAATAAATAAATTTCATTTCGATAACTGTTTATAGTTGAACACATACTTTCAAATAACGGTGATTTATTGATTGGTACTGGTTTATTAAAGAATCAATGGCAAGCAATGTTTTTGAAGAAAATTTTATACACTATACGGAATAAGCTACTCTTTCTTATACAAAATTTGATGCCAATTGTTTTTATAATCATCACTATAATTTTTTCAAATGAAATGGGTTTTGGTGAACTCCCAGCAATGACTATGCATTTAACGCAGTATCCCGATGCAGTGACGGTACTAGAAACTAAAAGTAATCTTGCAGAGAATTCCATTGAAGCTAAGTTAGCAGAAGAATACGCTCAAATTGCTAAATCTTTTGGTAAATCCTATAAGTTTGAAACGACTGAAAGCAAGTCTTTTGGAGAATATATATTAGATCTGTCGAAAAGTATAATAGCACGTATTAATTCACGTTACTTAGCAGCAGCTACTGTTGATCAGGGAAAAATTACAGCTTGGTTAAATAATCAACCTTTACATACAGCTCCTTTAAGTCTTAATTTTGTGCATAATGCATTGGCCAAGTAAGTATTCGAATGTGTATATGTAAAAACATATATATAATATTATAATGTAATCAATATCAACATTTTCAGAGCCACAATTGATCCAAATGCTGCTATTACCGTAACAAATAAGCCATTACCCTACACAACTCAAACATTGTTAAACCAGTTAAATATTGGTCAAAATTTGGGTATGCAAATGGCAACAAATTTATGTTTCTGTATGTGTTTTGTAAGCGCATTCTATATACTGTTTCTGATCAAGGAACGGGAATCACGTTCCAAGCTTTTACAATTTGTAAGTGGAGTTAAAGTTTGGACCTTTTGGCTTACACAAATACTATGGGATATGTTGACGTTTATTTTAACAGCGATTTTAATCATCATAACATTAGCTTGTTTCCAGGAGGATGGTCTTGCCACTTTTGCTGAGCTAGGTATTTGTATAATGATTTTATATATTATAAAATTTATGACATGTATGATATAATTTATTTTTAAAGGACGTTACTTTTTGGTATTACTTATATTTGGTTTTTCTGTATTACCGTTTACGTATTGGATATCAACTTACTTCGCAGAACCTGCTACAGGTTTTGGACGCATTTCCATTATAAATATATTTTGTGGTAATATAATTTAATTTTGGAATTATTTTTTATATTACTTGTGTTAAAATAAAAATTATTTTAAATTAGGTATGGCGCTCTTTATTGTCATAACTGTTATATCGTTTGACTTTTTCGACACAAAAGATACTGCCGATGCATTGCAATGGGTGTTTAGAATTTTCCCACAATTTTCCTTAGCTTCCAGTTTGAATAAACTATATTCGAATGGAGCAACACGTGATGCATGTGAAGGTCAAAATTCGGGGGAAAATGTAGAGTCATTTTGTAGAGAATTACCACAATGTTGCAGTATGTATTGACTGCCATATCTCGTACATAAGTTAATAGCAAAATTTTTATTTAGATATCGAACCATATTTCAGTTGGAACGACCCTGGAATCTTACCAGAAATAATTTATATGTTGGTAGTTGGAGTTATATTTTTCCTTATAGTTGTTATACAAGATTTCGGTTATATTAATGAAATTATATATAAACTGCGTAATAAAAATGTGTAAGAAGTGTTCTTCAGTTTTTATTTATGTATATAGTAATATTATATATGGTATGTTTTTTTTAGTAAAACACCTCCAACAACAGAGGATGGTTATTTAGATGAAGATGTGCTAATTGAACAACAACGTGTGATATCCATGTCATCAACGGAACTGTTAAAACAAAATCTTGTATTAGATCGGGTCACAAAATATTACAATAAATTCTTAGCCGTTAATCAAATATCTCTTTGTGTCAAACAGTAAGTGAAATCGTACTTTATTTTTTTAGTTGTATTATAAAAAGTATAATTACTTTAAAATAGTTCAGAATGTTTTGGATTATTGGGTGTGAATGGAGCTGGTAAAACAACAACGTTCAAAATGATGACTGGTGATGAACGAATAACAAGTGGCGTAGCATATGTTAGGGGAATGAATCTGGAGACAGAACGAAACAAAGTGTATAAAGAAATTGGTTATTGTCCACAATTTGATGCTTTAATTGATGATCTAACTGGTCGAGAAACCTTAAAAATATTTTGTTTATTACGTGGTATACAAAAAGAAAAAATTGAAATGCTATCTGAGGAATTAGCTGATTCATTTGGATTCAGAAAACATTTAGATAAAGAAACAAAAGCATATAGTGGCGGTAATAAACGTAAACTTAGTACAGCGATTGCGGTACTTGGCGGTCCAGCTGTCGTTTTTCTTGATGAACCAACCTCTGGTATGGACCCAGCAGCTAGGCGACAATTATGGAATATGATTTGTCGTATTCGTGACTCTGGTAAATCAATTGTTTTAACATCTCATAGTATGGAAGAATGTGAAGCTTTATGCACACGTTTAGCGGTAATGGTAAATGGCGAATTTAAGTGCATAGGGTCTACTCAACATTTAAAGAATAAATTTTCTAAAGGAATTGTTTTAAAAGTTAAAGTACAACGAAGCACAATATCAAATAAGTAAGTATATATTTTAGTACAGATAGTATACAAATTGATAGAAATATATATATTTTTTAGTTAGTGTCATGGTATAGTAGATAATATATACAGTTAATATCTAGATAACTGAATAGTGTAGAAGTGCAAAATAAAACAAAGTGCATCGTTCCAAAGTTTTAAAGTTTTTGTGGCTGACTTTGCCCGATTTTTTGACACAAGTTTCAAGAAACAACTTTTCAATACAGCCTTTTTAAAAGATAAAATTTGAATGTTAATTTTTTCCTGCCTAGAGTGACGCGTCTTTATAACGAAAAGAAACTAAAAGTTAGACGGATTTGAATAGCAAAGAAAAGATAAAGACAAAAATTTTAGTTATTTTATTGAAATTTTTGTTAATTTTTGTCATTGTCTTTTCTTTGCTATTAGAATCAGACTGACTAATAAACTTTGTTGTTACTGTGCTTTTTTCAAGCATTAAATTGTAATAAACTTGGGGAGTCGATAAGTGTGTAGTCTACATGACATTGTTTTGGTATTAGCTTATTAAGCTAATTGCATAATGTAGTTCTGGAAAAGATAGACGTAGTTTAATACAAAATAACATTTATTTACTTTCTTATATTGCTGAGTTGATTTCGACATATTTAGTAATCAATATTAAATATCCGCTTATTTAAAAAGGATTGTAGTTATAAGTAGATAAAACGTTTTAAATGTCACTATAAATTTTTTTAATAATTAATTTTACTAAAGAGGAACCTACAAATTCGGAAAGGTTGTATTAAAATATAAGATGTATAAAAAGACTTTGATTTTTGTTGTATATAGAGAAATATTATAGAGAAATATATTTATAGACTAATTTATATATAGATTATAAAACGAAATCACATGATCTGATTATTAATTAAATCTCATTTATTATTCTTAAAAATTACAGTAGATACAGTTACAACGAAGGAGAGGAACTAGCACAAATATTCCAACAAAATATTCAGAATGTTAAAAATTTTGTTGAGCAACAATTTTCAAATTCGGTTTTACAGTAAGTAAAACTTACCTAAAATCTTTAAAATATTTATAATTGATAAAATATTTTTAATTTAAAGGGAGGAATATCAAGGTATACTAACATTTTACATACCTTTAACGGGTATGCGTTGGTCTCAAATATTCGGTCTTATGGAGCGTAATTGTGCGGAACTAAATATTGAGGATTATTCTATAAGTCAAACGACACTTGAAGAAATCTTTTTAGAGTTTGCAAAATATCAAAAGGAGGATAAGAGAGCAAATTAATTTTAAAAAATATATTCCTTTTTTTTATTTTAGATAATTTTAATTTAAATTATAAATTTTTATAATAATTAATAATGGTAGCAACTTTTTATTATGCAAAAGTAAGCAATTTCAGAGAGTTTACTTAATTCGACAGGAATTATTATTGCTGAAGAGAACAAAACTCTAATGAAAAGTTGTACGGATAAAGAATTAAAGTTTTTTATAGAGAGAGACAAGGCTTTCGAATAAATACATGAGAACATTTTATTGTAATTTAATTTTATTATATTGAACGAAGAGGACATTTGCCATATTTAGACGAAAATTATTTGAGGATTTTTAATCTTAATGTCATGTTTGTATTTTTTCTTCTAATGAATATTTAATAAAAATCGCAAGCAAAAGATATTCTATTCAAATTTGATTTTCTATTTAAGTACATTTAACACAATGATATATTCTACGTATATGGGTTTTTCTTTTTCTGTATTTTAAACTAATAAAATTAAAATTTAATATTTAAAGTTTCATGTTTTTCAAGTTCTGTGAATTGAAAAGAAAATAATCAACTTAAAAGTTTATTTGAGTTGTTTTTGTAACCATTTGATATCAAAAGATTATAACAGAAAAGTTATGTTATGTGCTTTTTGGGGCACGTACCCTATAGTATGAATCTTATATTTTGAAAATAAAACAGTTAATGATAATTACAATTATCATTATAGCGTTATTGCTCATTTAAATTAAATGATCAGTCATTCATTTAAAAAGAGAAAACTAAAAAAAATTATGTCGTTTATGAAAAAAATCCGCTTTCTTCGTTAGTGCTTCACAATATCTATTTTTCTTTTCCTGAAACTTAATAGAATACTAGAGAAAGGAAAAGTTATTAGCATAACAAAAAGGCTTTTTGGAATATATTGAGAAATAGTACCATACCTAAGGTATGATTGCCACTATACCAATCACAATATATGAAGAATATTTGTATTACTATTCAGAAATTAATCTTTATCCTTTAAGAAAAAAATGTGTTAAAAATATTTAAAAAAATATTTTTGAAAATTTGACTAGCTGTCGAAATCTATGAAATATTTAAATATTAATAAATTAAAAATGTTATCATCAGTTTAAGAAAACTGAGTTATTACAATGCAGCTAGGGCGACTAAATGAAGTTTACGGAATAAATTTTTCATAAATGTCAACAAGTTTCGCAGCAAACAGTCAAAATGGTAACAATAAAACTCAGATGTAATTACCAGGACTCGTTGAAAAATTCACCAGCATCTTAACAAAAGCGGATTTTGCCGTAACGACAATCTGTAGAAATATTAAATGTATTATAATTTGTCGACATACCATATGGAGATAACACACAATACTTTGTGATTTTGTTGAAGAGGTTGTGGAGATTCCATATCCAATATTGATCAACGAAATGATTGGCGATGTATTGATCTCAAATGCAATGACTATATTGCAAATATAGCGATGTATTTGGAAACGGAGTGGTCCAGCACCCTCAATAAAATTAAAGGTATTAAAACAAGCAGTTAAGTTCTACAAGCACGTCCTAGACACAAAGCAAGAGTCAATGAATTGTAGCCTAGAAGGTGCCAACTTACTCCTTAAATTCAGACAATAGAAGTTAGATAACAGTAATTCATGTTAATGTCAAGTGAATATCAATTTATTTCACCTGTGGAAGAGTTATAACGTTTATTTCGCTAAAGATTGGGTTACTACAAAAAGGAACTGAGTCGATATTTGCTATGTCACAATAACGTGCCAGCGCACGCTGTTTAAAAAACGAACAACTTTATTGCGTTGTCAACAATTGAAGAAATTCTTCCAGTACATTATTTCCCAGACCTAGCGTAGTGTGATTTCTGGTTGTTTCTAAAAAAAAAGATTTCGTTTTAGAGAAAGTGTTATCGGAAGGATGGTTATTCACTTTTTATATAAGCATGCTTTAGTTGTATGTATGAAGATATTTTTACCATTAAGATTAGAAAGGATTAGAAATCTTTGAGCTCTCCAACTAATAATATGGTAAAGAATAATTAAAGAAATATCTGAGTTAATTGTTTTGGATATATAAGTAAAATATACTATGAATGCAAATTAATTTTTAAATGTGAATGGTTTAAGTTTGATTTTAATCCAACATCTAAATAAAATTAGCAAATTTTGTGATATATAAACTAGTTTATTTATTAAATCTAATATAATTAATATTTATTTTAAAAAATATAAAAAAATGGGAAACATAAAAAATCAAAAAAAAAACTACACTGACTAATAAAGACTGCAATAACTAATCATACTTTTTATGATCACGAGTAGATCGTTCCATTAAGTTTATAATAAGCGGCTTCATCGGAGTTTTCCTAATAATACAGTCCTCGATACTTAGGTTTGAAACGTTTGTCTGTATTTCTCTAAATATAGTTGACATTTTTACCTTCTTGTTATCAGGAATCACAAAAGTAATATTATTTCCCATAACGCTTCTAAAAAAATTATGAAATGCAATCATTATTAAATAATTGCATATGTCTTTCAATAAGAGTTTTAAGTAAATGAAAATAAATGTTTTCATCTTATGTCTTACTTTAAAAATGCACCAGGGAAATTGTTAGTAACAAATTGAATGAGTGTATTAGATTTGTTGTCGAAAGCATTTTTTTGATCTTGAGCAACATTTTTCATAGTCACTTCAATCGTATAAGCATCTACGAATTTATCACGAATTCCTTGTAATGAAGTAAAGGCGTAGAAAGCACCATTTGCACCAAGTATAGCAAGTCTGTCGCATACAAAGAGTGAGTCCCTTATATTATGTGTTGTAATAATACATGCTCTTCCACTTTCTTTTAATTGACATATTACATTCCATATAATTCGTCGCGAAGCTACGTCCGCATACATAGTGGGTTCTTCTAATAAAATCACACACGTATTACCCAACATCGCAGTTATGAGACACACACGCCTACTAACACCAACAGAGATATCGGCAATATATTTGTTCAGATCATCATAAATACTTAGTGCTTTAGCTAAATTTTCGTAGGTATTTTTGATTTCATGTTTTGGCATGCCACGTAGTAGGCATATTATATATAAAAATTCATAAACCTTGTACTCGCTCAGGAGTATTAAATTTTTAGGAGAATATCCAATATATTTGTTTGCTTCATTTTGTTTATTATTTAAGGAATGTCCTCCAACTAAAACATAACCATAATCTGCATTTGTTGCTCCAGCCAGGACTCTTAGTAGAGTTGATTTTCCTGAATTATTCACGCCCATCACAGATACACATTCGTGGCTGCAAATAATTGAATTTATAACTATATATATATATTTATTTATAGATATTTATATAAAGAATGTCTTCAATAAAAATGCATTAAATTCAAGAGCTTCTAGGTTCTAGCAATGAAGAAACGTTTTTGTCCAACGTTAATGCATTTTATCGACAATATTAAGTATACCTATATGTATATCCATCAATGTTTTTGCATATAATCTTACTTTTTAACTGATAAGCATATCCGGTTCAGCAGTGCTCTGTGATTGCGTATTTTTGTTATATATCCGCAGGATAAAGGCGTGACTGATAGATTATCGACAGTCATTTTTGAAACAAAGAACTGTTCCTGTATGACTTCATAGTTTACCTTCAATTTGTTATGAACTTCATGTGCAAATCTATATTGCATTAAATTGTTCTCTCTAAGATATTAAAAACATAAAATTTCGTTATGCGATATACATTTAATTAAAAATGTTTGTAATGAAGTAGGTATTAATGTTTTTTTTAAAAATTTTTACCAATTTGTGGTATCTATAAATAGTATCTGATCAATTACAAATAACCCCACATTACATATTCACATTGCTAAGAAGTATTATTGAACTAAAATGTTCAATCCAACATTGAAAGAAAATCTTCAATATCATTAATGTTAATAATAAAATTACATATCGTAAGTAATCAATAGTACTTATTATGTGTGCTTACCTACTGTTAGATATATTTAGATTTCAAATTGTTTCATATTAATATTAAGTTTTTGCATATTATCGCAATATATTACAATATAAGTTGGGGATTTGAGATAAATCAATTCGGGATGAACAGAAGTTGGAACCAAAAAAGAGCGGAACTCAATAGTTACCATAATAAATTACATTACATTATAATAATAAATTGCATTACAAGGCTATACAAATAAGGTGGTATTGCCCAATAGCCAGATATATCTTAATTCAGTACGACTAATAGATAATGAAGATGAAATGTGACCACATTTGACTAATAATCGTATGTTTGTTGTGTAATATGAAGGGAAACAGTATTCCGTGGATAGGTATCTTATCTCAAAAGATAACGGAATTTCTTTGCGAAGATAATGCAATAAATATTCTTAATGATGTCGATGACAATGATTGGGTTAAAATGATCGGTATCTTTAAGAACGCCATTGTGTATTGAAAGAATATTATTGTAGAGTTCAATTGATTTAATAGTTTTAATTATTTCATGTGTTACCAACCACTTTAAAGGCGATTAAATAGGCCATAGTAGTATGTGGTTTATTTATTTATTTATTAAATTAATGTAATGTTTTTTTAAGACTAAGGGTTAACAATTAAATTCCCTCTACTCTACCTCTACTAATTTATTTAATTTAAGTTTTTATTTTAATTTTAAAATTTCATAAAAGTAATATATATAATTTTATTGATACAATTAAATAAAAAAATTATACATTTACTTTTTAGCTAACTATAATATTCACTAGATTACATGTTCTTAATGGCAATAATAGGTGATCGAATTATTCCAAAATTCCTGCAATATTTTGCTATACTAAATTCATGTTAATTATAAAGTTGAAATTATTGAACTTATTGATGCATACAGTTTGTGCTTAATTTAGCTTAACTTAACCCGTTAAAATAAACTATAGTTAAAATGCCAGCTAATTGCAAAAAAAGATATATAAATGAAATATGTGAAAGTAAAATAGAAAACAGTAAAATAAAATACCAAGGACATCAATCATGTACATCTCTGACTGACTAAAATAAATCAATAAACTAGTTCTGTTATATAAACGAAATTATCCATTAGGTTTCATAAATTATGGCATAAGGATTTTAATAAAATTTTTATTTTTTCATTGTAGAGTTTATTATTAATTGACAATGTAAACATTAGTTAAGGTAAATTTAAATTATTATGTATCAATGTATTAGATTCATTAAAAACATATAGTCAGTTTTATTAGAAAGCTTACTAATTAAAGTAACAAGAATCATTTACCTTGTTATTTGTTCCATAGATCTTTGTTTATAGTTAAATAAATCACAAGTTTGCATATATTCCATTAAATACATTAAAATCCAATAAAATATAGTTAAGCCCATTAGAATAAAAATGCTTGAAGATACGCCATCCCAGACACTATATTCAACTAAGGAGTGCATAAATTAAAAGATTTTAACAATATATATATAAAATATATAATAAAGTAGGACTTACCGCAGCAGTTTGGCATTGAATCACAGTTTTCAACATATGTTGAAATTGTATATATAGTTTGATCCGAACACATTACTATTAAGTCATTAATAAAGAAAATAGTACTCATAGCGCTACATTGTGTGAACAGAGGCATTATATAAAGTATTCTTCCCAGAGTGTTTATATAACTTAATCCGTCATCATGATTTTTGTAGAAAACCTCAGTGTAAATTGCGAAATTCGTTATGCCAAAGAAATGAATTGTGATGACAACACAGAATGCTAAATATGGATCTCTAAAGAATCTTCCTAAGACATGATTCATTGAGGTTACGCAAATTCCACCAGCTATTATGGTTAGAAAATATGACTCTAAAAATTGGACAATGCGTTTTGTTGTAACAAATTTTAATACGGAAGTATACATCTGATATAAACTTACCTCTGACATCGGTATCATTGAATCGATCTTGGTCAATGACCATCATTGTTGCGACTGTTATAATTCCTGTTACTAATACCACCAGAATATCGAGTATTAAACCAGTTAAAAAAAATGAATCTTTTTTTGCACCGGCAATGAACTGTAGGAATTTTAAGTTTGTTATTTTTTCTCTGATCGTAAATATGATCGAAATTGACCAAACAAACGATAGGCAGAGTGATGTACACAGCGGTAAAAGCATATTATGCGACAGTGGAACATGCATCATCATTGCATGATATTTATTAGTAAATGGCAAAGGTTGGAAATTCAGTTCAATACTTGAATCAATACCCAATATTGCTCTGCAATGAAATAAATGAAAGATAGATCAAAATTAGAAGTGTTGATTATAGTTAATATACTCCTTAGTTAATATACTTCTTTGTTCAATAAGTTTGAAGATCATCACTTGTTCCTGTTTTTAACTTTAAGTCACTGTGTCTAGAGAACTAAGATATATTGAATCTACTGATAGTTGATCTGAGTAGTACTTGGTTGATGGAAGAAAGCATTTTTGTTTTACAGAAATTATGACGACAGTTTTTTTAGCAGGACCGTACGCCTTATTGAAGGTAACTTGCTGAGTTGTCGAGAAGAATTGATAAAAACAATACATCGACACTAAAAGCTCTTGTTAACCCCTTCAGTTCTTTAAAGATGATCAGTGATTAGTGATCAGTGTTTTAAAATAAAATAAACTGCATGTAACTATGGTCTGTCGGTATATTTTATAACTGTGGTGTGGTGTATAGATTTATAGCCCAGCCTCATGTTGGCTTGGCAAATAAATATTTAGCTCTAGAAAACTAATTTTTGGAGTTAGCTTTGAAGGATTTCTCATGGCAAAAAGCTTTGCAACAACAGAATTATTTAATTTCATATTTTAGACAAGATGCTGTAAGGAGTTATTTTTCACGCAAGTGATTATCTAAAACTATATAAGAACTGAGATATACGTTTAATGTAGAATAATAATTTTGATACGATTATTTAATTTAAAAGAAATTAATGTACTCACCTCGCTATTGCATTATGCATTAAGTTTAATGAGAGTGGTACGGTGTGAAGAGGGTAATTGTTAAACCAAGCAGTGTAGTTTTTTTTGAAAGAAGCAGCAACGAGGTAAAGCTCATTAATTTTACTTGCTTTTAACTTTTCCTGCTTTATTATGTATTCTTCAAATGGAGTTTCAATAACTTCTACTTGGTGTGGATTTGAACTCCAAAATACTAACTGTTGATATTCAAGTTCCGAGCTTTCCGACATTGGATCTGTTTTCCGTAAAATTTCTATTGTAGTTGCGGAACGCTGGTATTGTTGCAGTCTATATGACATCGGCTTTAAATCATCATTGTTTAATTTTATTTGTAGTAGAGAGAACGGCATCACTGTACATAAAATAGGTAAGATAACAATTGAACCAAATATTAATGGACTGCGTATTAAATGTATAAAACGCTTATAAACGTATGCGTTCCAATGATTTAATATAAGTTTCCTCCCTTTAAGAGTTTTATATGTCTGAAATAGCGTAACAGGATTTGAGCGGTCTAGGTATTTAGAAATACCATTTAAAATTTCATGATGTCGTAGAGAATTTCCATAACTTGAACCATCTGCCCCATATTGTAAAAAAACATCGCGTAAAGAATGTTCGTTAACCTCCAAATGTACAATATTCAGTTCATTCCATCTTTCTTCGAATTCATCGAAAATATCATCAAATACATACGAGTATTTTTGTTCTAGAAGAAATGATATTTCATTCCCAAGCAGATAATCTGGTTCAATATTTATTATGTATTTTCGTAATAATTTCTTTATATCGTCACTTTTTGAAAGTTTTCCCATAAGAATTCTCTAAAATATGGATTTTTCTTTATTAAAAGTTATTTGATCAATATTAATTTAAATTATTTCCTTGTAAAGGCTGACAATAAAAAGAGATAATCATAATAAGCACTCTGATTTTCGTTCAAATTTTTATTTTATCTTAGAATGGTTTCAATAATTCTCTAAATTAGAGTATATTTCAACCAGAACTAATATCTTGATGCAGTTGAATATGAGATTATATTTATTAGTAATCGGAAATAATAGTACAAAAATATTACCGTAGTGTCGCATTGCTTTAGGTAATATGTTAAAAAATAGCAACTTACCCATAAATTCACTTATAAATTTTTTTCTCCTCGTTCTAACACTACCTTTATTTGTGTATCTATGTACATTTCATAGATCCTCTACCATGTATACTTTCTTTTCATACTTACTTATTTCAATTCTATTAAAGGGTTATAGGGAAGATATAAGAATTATTTTATAAAAGACACATATTTATACATTTATTTATTGTATCTTTTCTTACAATGAGACTAACAATAACATTTAAGATCTTATCACTAAAGTAAAGTAAAGTAAACCTTATATCGCGGACCTCACTTAAATCAATGGGTTAAATTTCATTGGCGTGAATGTTAGATGATTTATTAAGAAAACAGTAAAACTTTATTAGATTACTAAAAAGAAGAGTGGGATTTTTAATTGAAGCTATTGAATTTTACTTAATGGCTGGACGGTCAGCTCTTTTTAGGCGGAAATTAATAGATTGAAGTGCGTGATTCCTTACTAAGAAATTAGTATGTTTTGTTACCCTTTTATTGATTTTTTTCCTTATATTGTCAAATTTAGCTTTAACTAAGGGAATTTGTAGATCTCGGTGGATACTTTCATTCCTAATATATCATGGGGCTCCAGTGATTGTTTTCAATATTTTTGACAGAGATCTTTGGATAATTTTAATATTTAATGCACTAGCATTACTAAATATCTGGATACCGTAAGTCCATATTGGTTTTATAATGCTGTTGTACAAGAGTTCTTAATGTTATTAATGAGCCAGTGCAACTTGGAGGCTTGGAGCTTCATTTAAGTTTTTTTCAATATGTTTGCGTCAAGTTAGTTGCCTGTCTAGGCATGATATGGAAATGTTATTTAGTAAAATTGTTGAAGATATACTCCGATTTAAAGAAAAAATGACGTGTCTATATTTTAGTTCATTAATTTAGCTTTGTATATTAGCGGCAATTTTCAAAATATTTCTATACATTTAAGTATACAATATTAAATAAAGAATTTAGTTAAAAGTATGTTATTTGACATAAATATTATTATGGGAACATTTTTTTCAGTAATGTTCACCAACAAAGTATTGTGTGTAGTCGTTTTCCTAACTCTTTGTAATTCTTCATTTAACTTTTTACTGTTTAGTTATTTATGATTTCTTATAAAAATAGATAGTGTGTCTATTTTGTTGCATTTTTGATCAAAACCATTTAGTAAATATAATCTATAAGTCTTATCTCTTTTCACAAATTATTATATATAAACCAGGTAAATATTATATAAGTTATATAAAATAATTTAAAATAATACTTACTAAGCAATATCCATAGCAATAAACACGTTTCAGAAAACTTGGAGTGCCGGAACATTTGATTTCTCCATTAGCCATAATGGCCATACGATTACCAAATGTTTCCGCCACATCATAGGAATTTGTTGATAACAGCAGTGTTCGACCAATTCGTTCTTTTAACAACAAGTTGAACATATATTTTCTAGTAAGTATATCAAGGCCTTCAAAGGGATCACAGAGTATAATAATTTTACTATCTCCAATTAGCGCGCAACATAAAGCTAGTATATTTTTTAAGCCTAATGTCAAGTTATCTGTATAACAATTTGAATAATTTTTGAGTAGAGTTGATTTAAGATATTTTATGACTTGCATTTTGCATTTAGGGTACTCTATACCCTTCATTCGGCAAAAAAATGTTAATTGATCTTGCACAGTTAAGTTTCCAAACAATATTTGATCATTTATGGCAAAACTAATGTCATCATAACCTTTATCTGCAGTCCATTCAATACCATTTATCTTCATATCTCCACTAGTTGGATGTAATAAACCCACAATCATTTTTAATAAAGTTTTCTTGCCACTGCCGTTATGACCCATAAGAATGGTAGTGTCATTTTCATACAAAGTCATATTAACATTTTGTACCACATACTTATTATCATACTTTTTACACAAATTAGTTATTTCGAGGATTGGTGGCTTGAGAGTTTCAACTTCAATAACTGTAATACTTCGATTTGAGCTACCAGGCCTTGTGGTATCCTGGATTGAGCTACCAGGACGACGTCCTTTAAATACATCCGTTAAAAAAAGGTTCAGCTTTTTTACTCGGCCGGTTTTGTCAGGAATCAGCATGTCAATATATATTGCCATGACCATGTGAACTATACTTTGAAGTAACATTGTGATACTAAGAATGCCGATTGAGAAGTGTATTTCCAATGTTTGCGAACTAAAATAGTTCTTAAACTGAATGCCTATGTCGTTTACCTCTAAATTTTGGATGTTACCAATGATTAAACCCATTGTAGTATTGGGTAATAGAAAAATTAATATGCGTGTTAAAATTTCATGATTCAATTTATTTAGAAGGCTTGCATAAGGAAAAAATGTTAAAATCCATAAAGCAACTGTTATTATAACAGCATATTTTGCTTTGACGAAAAATATGGATAAAAGTACTGAAAAGGTTGCCGCAACTAAGCTGTACAAGCTCATAACAAGCAATAATACTAGCCATGAGCTATTAGGCAAAATTCCATTACCGTCACTCCATGGTATCTAAATACAGACATATAAATAGATCAGAAAGTACACATATTAGTACAAGGTACAAAACTCAGCGTAGATAACAATTACCTTAATCAAAGTCACTAATATTATGGATGATAACAACAGTTGAAAGAAAGCAACAACAACCCATGATATTAATTGTAATGCATAAGGAGCTCCCATGTTTTTAAGGACTATTTGTAAATTCTTCTCTTTTTCTTCAACTATGTACTAAAAATGAAAATAGTCTTGTAAATATTTAGTATTTCATATAAATACAAAAGATGATCGATATTCCAAAACTCTTTACATTAAAATACGAGTATCTAAAATGCCAAGAGCCCATTTATAACATAACTGAGACATTGGGGTTATGATAGGTTTATTGATGGAGCAGCATTGTGCACCAAAGGTCACTTAAGCACGAATATTTGACAGAGCTGATACCACGAATGAGACGTTGTCCGCTTATCACATCCGAAGCACCACAACAAAGTTGGAATATCAAAGCATTAAGTGTACGAACAGCGTTTCTTTTAGAATGTGTGAATGAATCATTCAAGTGGAAGGAAACTAACTTGACAAGTTTATAAAAATGGCTATCCCCGTAACACCTGTTTATTTCCTCGTAATCCGATAGATACTTTATTCCCACAATAATTACTTATTGGCTTGCTGAAATTCAAGATCATGTGCTGTGTCAACAGATTTTGTTGGATGAGGTATCTAAATTTAAGATTATATCCTTAATTTGGAGTAGGAAATTACATTTATTAAAAAGCAACTATTTAGGCTCTATAAGATGGATAGTACCAAAACTATATGCAGAGTGTGTGACAGCTACAAACCTGCAGCAATCACTTGAAGTCGGTGTACGGTGGGAATGTTTACTTCAAATATATTTAAATGCTTACCTCATATATATAGTAATTGACAAAGTTCATTATAGAATCATATCTAAATATTTATACACTAATTAGTGCAAACATGGAATAGTGATGAAAAATACATTATTGATCAAATAGATAATTGAATTAATGTAAAGGATAATCCATTTCATGGTTCTAAACTGTGATCCAAGCTATCATATGTTTGTTTAAAATTCGCTACTGTACAATATGGATAGGTTAACAATCAGTGAACGTGTTAAAACTTACTACAGAATTGGTGATTTTATGATATGTGTGTGCCGTGTTTTACGAGGAGATTATGGCTTTAAAATTCTGTAAAGAATTTTAAAGAATTTGGATGTGTACCAGTGAAAATAAGATTTTATAATTATATCATATTATCTTCATTTATATGGATATATTAATAAAAACATGATGCAAAGTTATCAAAAATGCTTACCTTTATAAAAATTGTAACGGGAACTGTGTAAGATATTATGATTATAAGAGATAAACTGCTCTTGATCCCATTCAAAAACTTGTCAACTGTATGCGCACGATATGGAAATCGATGCAGCAATATGTCTGGAATACGAGTTACTCCATTAAATGTCTTTTTTAGTTCTTCAACTACAGAATCAAGATTCATATATGATAGAAATATTTGATGTTGTAGGGAACTAAAACCTTCACGAACGTATCCAACGTAGCCGCCAGTTTTGTCTCTACCAACACGACTATCCGGTGGAGTTACAAAATTAAATAAAATATTTGTATTCCAGTTGGACGTTATATATGTATCATGGTAGAAACGTAGTTCACTTGGATACAACAGTGTATAATTAAGTTGACTTGGTATTTCGTCCGTATTGGACTGAAAAATATTTTCATCGAAACAAACTCCAGCGAAATAATATTTTGTTTGCATGGCATTATAGAGAAGTTCACAAGAGCTAAATCCAATCAAATCCATACCTCCTAAAGACATAATTGCGTGATTCATTATTTTATTAAATAAAACGTATGTATTGGGTGCATAAGCAATTATCATTTGAGGGACATATACGTTGAAACTGTTGCTAAAAAAAAAGAAGAAATACGTAAACTACATACCACAAGTATAAGCAGATATTTATTTCCTTCCAAAAACTTACGTCCGTGAAACATTGAAATATTTGTAACCGCGATCTGATAGCACACTTAATAGGTTGCTCCATGATTCTTTTAAATCAACTGGTTCATATATAATAGTTGGGAAATTTTCACAGCTAATCATGCAACGTATTACTATTGGTATCGTCATAAAAAAAGTGGGTGTGAGTATGCAAAATAGTACAGTATGCCAATTCTTCCACTGGACACACCAATTCTTCCAAATCAAGCACAAGAGCAATTCCCACACTGTTAAAATATTGGAACTCATTTCTTTATTTCACGTTAATGAAATAAATAAAAATAATTAAAACTTTTTTAACAACTGTCTTATGGTAGAATAAATTTTATCTTATGAATATTTTAAAATTATTAAAAAAATACTTATTTAAAATATTTTTTGACATATTATGAATTATTGCTTTTCTTCATAATATAATTAAAGTAATTTTTATTAATATTAGAATTGTGTTTTAAAGGTGACACCGATGTCCAATATTATATTATGTCTGACTCCCTCAGTTACATACATCTGTATCTCTTAAAAATGTTATATATTGGATACATTACGCTTGTTAAGTTTTAGGTAACTTGGTGAATCAGATTGACACAATGTATATACTCTATATTGCTTTTTAGTTTAGTGAAAATAGTAATCCAACTATATTTGCCTATTTATCGTTTCGCTTTTATGATAATAAAATTTATAAAATATGTTTTTGTGATGTTAGATTTTGAAAATAACATCAATCTAGACTATTTTTCATAGCACTTAATTACTAAAACTTAGCTGGTAATTAATCAGTTAAGAAACATCATATGCTTGCTAAGTAACTTTTGACAAATTATTATGCAAAGACATACGCCCGGACAGTCCACATTCACTGAACATTTGTGTTCAGTAAAAAGTTCTATAAAGCTCCACATTATCAGACGACTTTTGACTTAGAAACTTGATTAAAAACATAAATTTTTAGATTTGTTGTCAGGAAGATCGAAAATGATATTTCGGTTACTGATGAGCTATGAAAAATGTAACGTTTAGTGGTGTTTATTGGCTTGTAACACCATAGCACTATACTTGCTACTATACTTGCCACGATTTATTTTTCAATATATAGATAGATATGCACTCTGACAGCTTTTACTTTCAGCGAGAATTCTCCAGGTCTTGTTAATTGGTTAACATTATCCATGCAAGCAGTAAGTCGATTTGATTCCTTACTCTTAACATTCAAATTTTTCTTTAAATAATTTAATTTTCTAGTAAATATTAACTTTTTGTGCTTTATAAATGTTTTGTCAATGGGGATTCATTTTTAATTTCTAATAGCATTGACGTAATAAAGCGAATTAAGTCCTGAATGTATCTTTTGATCCATTTCCTGACGACGAAGTAATAAAAAAATATTAATATAAGAGAAAATAGAAACAAAAAATTAATTTAAAACGTTTTTTATTTAATTATTATTAAATTTAATGTGAGAAAATAATTACAAGATTCAATATAATGTTTATGGTCTCAAATAATCTTCACTAGCTTTTATCATAAGGTGCCTAAAAAGAGGTCGCAAAGGACATTTCTTTATCAAGAAGTCCTCAATACTTAGAATAGGAGCATTTGTCTGCATTTCTTTAAATATGGTTGACAGTTTTATATTTTCATCGACAGGAATGATGTAAACAAGAAAATTTGACCCAGAATCACTAAACAATAAAAATTTAAAAATCAAATTTTATTTATTTAATTGAAAAGAGAAAAATATATAATTATTTAAAAAAGTTCAATAAGTTTATGCTTACAATATAAATGCGGTTGGGAATTTGTTTTGAACGAATTTTTTGAGCTTACTCATTCTTCGAACTACTAGAGCCGGTACAATGTGTGTAATATTTTTCATAGTCACTCTAAGCATATAAACGTCAACAAATTTATCACGAATACCTTGTAGAGTTGTTAAACTATAGAAAAATCCAAGCGTGCTAAGTATAGCAACTCTGTCGCTTAAAACAATTGATTCGTGTATATCATTTGTTGCTATAACACAGGCTTTTCCACTATTTTTTAACTGCAAGATAACATTCCATATAATTCGTGCAGCTGTTGGGTCTGTAGAAAGGGTAGGATGATCAAACAAAACTAATGATGTATTGCCTAACATTGCTATAAGTAAACACACGCGTCTTTCAACTCCTTTGCAGATAATACCAATACTTTTATTTAGATAATCATAAATACCCAACGCTTTAGCCAAATCTTCGTATGTAGTTTTGATCTCATTTATGGGAATGCCGTGTAACAGACATATGATATATAAAAATTCCTTTACTTTGTACTCTTTTAAAAGATGTGATTTTTGGGGAAAATAACCAATATGTTTAAAGGCTTCGTCCTGTTCATAAGTAAAGGAATATCCTTTCACTACAATAAAGCCGTTATCTGCATCAACTTCTCCGGCCAGTAATTGAAGTAAAGTTGATTTCCCTGAGGTATTAACACCTAGTACGCTTACACATTCGTTCCTGTATAAAAATTATGATATTATTGGTTTGCGTACTGTTTAAAATGGAGACTTACGCTGAAAGTGTTAAGCTGATTCCATTTATAACAGCCTTCTTATGATATACTTTCGAAATAAAGCCACATGTTAAAGGATTTTTGCGCATTTCATAGTTGTTCGTTTTTGTAGCAGTCAACTGTTCATTGATGACCTCTTCGTCTACTTTGAAATTTTTGTAATAGCCGTGTGTATATTTGTATTGTTCAGAACTAGATTTACTAAAAAATTAATTAAAATTAAGTTCATCTCGTTTTATGACATTAATTATAGTAAAATCTGTTAACATTCGATGAACATTTTGAAAATTATGGCTAAATAGTCCAGTTAAATATATTATATTATTATCTCTAGTTTGATGTAAATACCTTAATATATTCTTAAAAGATTTATTTTTCCAATTAATTATTTTAGTTAATTTTATATTTTCCATTAGAAACAGTAAAATCCAAAATGATAAGGTTATGGCTAGTAGTATGCAAATTTTGGAAAGAATGCCATATTGAAAGTTCCAGACTGTATACTCAACTGAAATATACATTTTAATCAAAGTTAATTAATAAAATTATGTTTCAATACTCTTACTACAACAATTTGGAATAATTTTGCAATTCTCTACGTCTATTGAAATTTTGTTAATAATTTGATCACGGCACAAAATCGACATATCGTATATTAAAAATATCGAAGTCAATGCGCTACATTGTGTAAAAAGGGGCAACATTAAAAGGAATCCTTCTAAACGATTAGTTGTGTAGAAAAGTTCATCATAATGATTGTAGAAAATGTCAGCGAACGTAGCAAAACTTGTTATTCCAAAGAAGTGGATTGAAATAACAATACAGAAAGCAATAAGTGGATCCTTAAAGAACTTCGCGAGTACATGGTTCATCGAGATGACACATATTCCACCTGTTATTAATGTAACAAAATATGCCACTAAAATGTAAATAATAAAATGATAAAGAAATTTAAAAGTATTTAGATGAAAATGACTAAAGTTAACTTACTTATAAAATTGATCTCAGCGAATCTTTCACGTTCAATTAATATCAATGTAACAACTGTTATAAATGAGGTAACAAATACAATTAAAACATCATAGAAGAACGCGGATAAAATAAATGAACTTTTTTTTGCACCCGCGATGAATTGTAAGAGACGAAATTTTGTTACTCTCTCCTTGATCACAAATATTATTGAAATTGACCACAGAAATGAGAGACAAAATGATATACATAGCGCCATGACCATTTTAAGTGTAAAGGGATAATGGATCAACAGCTCCTTGTGTTTGTTACTGCTCGGCAAAGGAGCGAAACTGATTTCGACGAATACATTCTCTCCCAATAATTGTCTGCAATGATATGAATAAAAAATCATTAAATTCAATTTAGTGGATATGTCAAAATGTACAAACTTAATAAATAAAGCAAATGCATTATAAGACTTGCATGAAAGTTCAGAACAAAGTGCAAATATAAGATATGAAATAAAAAATAAAAAATAGATAATTTAAAAACTATTAACTGTACGTATAATATCGAATTAAATAAAAATAATTTTAGATAACTGCTAACATTGATATTGCTTTTCAGTGCAGCTACCTTTCTGCATGTGGTATCAGCACGGGCTGATTTGTCTTAAGTCTGTGGACCAGCAATTAAGGAAGCCGATGGCCACATTCATATGCCTTATTATACTGATAACAATGTTACCGTTTTGTTTGTTTAGTTACTGGATATAATCAAGAGACTTAATATATGTTAGCTGTAATGTTAGTATCAGTTTTTAACATGAATTGTGAAATTATTCTTGTTTATTCGAATTTTCAAAAGTAACACCTCTTAAAGCTAAAAGCTATATTTATTATAATTAGTGTTATAACTTTATTATATAGTTCTATTTTAAACAGGGCTAGAGAATAAACAATTCCAAGGATGTTTGTTGAAACGAACAGACAAATAGTGGAAGCTGTGTATATGAATTTATTCCATAGCACAAATCAAAAACTTGCATATCTTACGGGCCTTTCGCGTTCCTATAAGCTGCTCTTTGTTACTGCTTGAGGGAAATTTTATTACGTTAACTATTCCCATACCGTTTTGAGATTTATATATGCCGTATTTGTTAACCAAAATGACATTTATAAAACAATTGATATTTTTGAAAAGATGTTTGATTTGATAATATATAATAAAATTGAAATAATTCAGATACTCACTTAGCAATAGCATTCTGCATATAGCTCAAAGACATTGGCGCGGTATGAAGGGGGTGGTTGTTAAACCAAACTATTAAATATTCTCCAAATGTTGCGGCCATCAAATATTTCTCATTCACATTTGTTGCTTTTGAATTCAAGTGTTCCATTATGTACGTTTCAAATGGCACAGAGATCACATGTGCTACATGTGGGTAAGAAGTCGCAAATATTATTTGTTGATATTCAATATCTGCCGAATTTTCTACTAATCCCTCTGTTTCTATTGCAGTAACGCTACTAAGATATTGATCTAATTTGTAAGTCATTGGATTCAAGTAATATCCATCCAAACTTAATTGTTGTAGCGTAAAAGATACCAGGATATAGATGATAGGTAAAAGCAGCATGAGAACAATTGTAGTCGTATGCTGAAATTCATACTTAAAGCGTTTGTACAAATAGGCACGCCAGTGACTAAGCTTGAGTTTGTAACTTTTCAACCTTTCGTATTTCTTAAATAGCTGAATTGGGTCTGATTCACTTAAGTCTTTAGAAATGCCTTTTAAAATTTGTTGATGGCGTGCGGGATTTTCAAAACTTGCATCATCTGCACCAAGTTGAACAAAAACATCACGTAAAGACCGTTCAATAAGTTCTATAGTAATAATACTAAGTTCAAATGATTTTTTTTCAATTTCATCAATTAAATCGTCAAATAAAATTAAGTATTTTTCGTCTAATACATATGATAATTTATTTCCGAGTGCATAATCGGGTTCAATATTTGGTATATATTTTTGTAATACTTTCGTCAATTCGTCTATTTGAAAATGTTCACCGCTAAGTATGTTCTAATATAAAAAATTTAATTTTTTAAGTGTAATACTTTATAGAATTAAAGATTACTTACTAAACGAAAATCAGAGCAGTAGACCTGTTTTAGAAAATTCGCCGTGCCCACACATCGAAGTTCTCCATCACCCATAATAGCAATACGATCACCAAACGATTCTGCAATTTCGTAGGAATTTGTTGCGATAAGCAAAGTTCGGTTAGGTCTTTCACGTAATAATAAATTCCACGCATGTCTTCGACTGAGGTTATCTAGACCCTCGAATGGATCAGTGAGAACAACAAATTTACTATCACCGATTAGCGCACAGCACAACGCTAAAATATGTCTTAATCCAATACTTAAGGTATCAGTGTAAAAATTTAAATTTTTAAGTAATGGCGTAGATTCGAGATACTTTCTAACCTGCTGCTTACATTCAGCATATTCTATGTTTTTCATACGGCAGAAAAATAAGAGTTGATCTTTTACAGTTAAATTTGAAAACAGACTACTTTCATGAATTGAAACACCAACTCCCAGAAATGCATGTGTATGATATTTAGTATTGTAACCATTTATTACTATATCCCCTCTACTTGGAGTAAGTAAACCCGCAATCATTTTCAACAGAGTAGTCTTGCCACTGCCGTTATGACCCATTAGAATGGCGGTTTCATTTTCATATAAATTTATTGAAACATTCTTCACAATATATTGATTATCATAATTTTTACTCACATTCTCTACAGACAGTACTGTTTGCTGATAGGCGTCTACCTCGATGACCCTAGTTACACGCTTATTTGCAATCCTAGATGTACGTACATTTTCTGAACCACATATGAATGGTAATTTGCATTGTTTCGCTGCTCCGATTTTTCCAGGAATCCACTTTTCAATATATATTGCCATAACAATGTATACAATACTTTGAAACACCATAATGACACTAAGAAAACCAGTGGAAAATGGTATTTCCAATGTGTATACCTCAAAGTAATGATGGAAATGAAAACCACCGCCAAATACTTCGAAAGAAAGCACATTATCAACAGCCATACCAAATGTTGTGTTAGGAAACAGGAAAATAAATACATTAGTTAACATCTTGTTGGTGTATTTAATCAAACAGCTTGCATGTGGAAAAAATGTGAGTGTCCAGATAATAGTTGAACTAATAATTGCAGTTCTTGTAACAGTACAAAATATGGATATGAATATTGCAAATGCTGTTGCAACTAAATCATAGAAGAACATAAGAACCAACAGTGCTGACCATGAACTGTTGGTTAAAATTCCGTGTCCGTCATTCCATGGTATCTGAGTACAAAATAAGATCAAGTTATTGATATTCCACACACCGATTAAATATATATAGTACAGAGGAATATTAACATACCTTTATAATAGTCACCAATATTATGGATGATAATATTAACTGGAAAAAACCAAGAATAAACCAGGCAATTAATTGTAGTCCATGTGATGCTCCCATATTTCTGAGAATCGATTGTAAATTGTTCTCTTTTTCTTCAACTATATGCTAATATATAAAGCAAGAATATTTTAAAAAATAGAGGTATGTTTAAAGATAATTATTCAAAATACTACGAATTTGTAAATAATTTGAAATACACCCTGTTAATAACAGAATGATTTACAAATTTGAAAAATGTTAATAGTTCTGATTGGAAATTCGTTTATGGGCTTAATAAATGTGGGCACTTTATGTTACTTAGTTAATAAAATAAATTTTTTTCTTATTACCTTTATAAGAACCGTTATGGGTAATAAATACGACATTGCGATTAGAAGAGGTAAACTATCTTCCATCTTATCGATAAGCTTATCAACTATATAGTCACTATGCGGAAATCGACGAATCATTAAATTGCTTATAATTTTGTTACTCACGTACCAGTACTCCTTATATAACAAATCTACATGTAAATTCAGATATGCCACAAATATAGCATGTTGAAGAGCACTGAAGCCTTCACGGACATATCCAACATAACCGCCAGTATTATCTTTTCCAATTCGTTCGGAAGGTGGCATTAAAAAATTAAATAAGTGATTTGTATGCCAGTTGGAACTCATGTATGTGTCATTGTAAATACGTAGTTCGCTTGGAAATACCAGAGTATAATTAAGGTGATATGGTAAAATATGACTACCATCAACACTTGTTTTCAATTTAACAAAATCGTCATCAAAGCAGGCACCAGCAAAGAAGTATTCAGCTTCCATCCTTTCACGAAGAAGATCGCATGATTCAATTCCAATTAATTTCATACCTTTTAAAATCGGTGCTGTGAAACTCATAATGTTTTCAATTGCTACGGAGTTATTAGGTGCGAAAGCAATAATCATTTGTGGGACATACACATTAAAATCCGAACTAATACAAACGCAAATTCAACAGAAATTAAATATGTGTAAATATTTAAAAAAAATTCAAAAAACTTACCTCTTGGTGGAACTAAAATATTTTTCCCTTCGATTTGATAGTTCATTCACTATATTTGTCCAAGAATCCACCAAGTTTACGTTATCATATACGATGCTTGGAAATTTTTCACATTCAACCATGCAACGTATAATTGTTGGGACTACTATGAATAAAGAGGGTGTCAATATACAAAGAATTACAATACTTCGGTTTCTCCATTGCACAGACCAGTTTTTCCAAACTAAACACAAAAGCGCGTCTTTCAGGTTTAGAGAATTTACAATCATCTTGTACGTTTAAATTAAATAAAAAATTAGGCAGTAATAGTAAATTAGTTTATTTGTTCAAATTGACATAAGAGTCAGAGTCAGAAAAATAATATTAAGAATTTAGCAATCTTAGTAGAGTTTTTTAATTTAGTTTGCAAGTTAAATTACAAGTTAAATACTAAAGTCGAGATTTGCAAAATGTTTTTACAAATAATAAGTTATTATTTACTTACTTACGTATTTGGCCACAAACAACCCTTTCCGGGTTTTGCGTCTGTCGCAGCATGTCTCCAGGTTTTTACTTAAACTAGTTATTAGATTATTAGTAGTTGTTAGATAAAAAAAAATAACGAATGCATTGTATCTTAATTTCAACATTAAATCAAAATACAATAGAAAATAAATCTTTCGCTCAAATATACTTCAGATATTAAAAGTTTTAATATTAATTATATTTGTGTAATCACAGAATAGGGTTTTCAGGGTTAGGGTTTGTTTTGTTTATGAAAATGTTGCAACATAAAAGTGTTGTGGCATCGCCGAACACTTCAAGGTATAAATGCAGAAATTGCTACAATATTATTATGTGATGTATTACTATTACATGGCGTTTTTTAAGCACGTTTTTCAAATTTCACTTAAATTTTTTTGATTTTTTCTTTAAAACATCCTTTATTGGATATGAATAGTACAATCTTAACTATTTGTTAAAATTTTACTATTGCTGAATTGTACTTAATAGATATTGAGTAATATCAGTGTTCAGATCCCAAGATACCATACAATTTCACTTAAATATCAGAAAGCAGAATGAGTTTTAGACATTTACTTCACAAAAGTGCATTAAAACTATGACAATTGAAATGAAAATTATATCATATAATTTTCATTTGCTGATTTATTCCAAGTCTCTGTTTAATTTAGAACAGAAAATCGTTTTTCAAAATAACATTACTAAACTGAATCTGATGTTTTGACATCTACAGACAGAGTTATTCAATGGGCTTGGTCAGAGATTGCATAGAGAGACTCAAGTATCATAATGAGTGATAATTTATGAACAATAAGTTTTTCACATTACATTAAGTTTTGTATCATCAACAACTCTTGGAACATATGGTAAGAACTTACTATACAAATTAAATATAGTTTTTTAACTAAATGAAATGAAAAAACTAAAAAAAAATTCATATATATTTATATGCATTGAAAAAGTCGACAAAGTACAAATTAAATTCACAAAAGACAAAAGCACCAGGAAATATAATTAATACAAAACAAATAATTAACTGTACTAAATTCAGCCTATGTTCTCGAGTTCGTGATAAGATAGGACTTTATAGGGTTATCCTATACCAGTATAGAGCAGTATAATCTCTATATTAGCTAAAATAAAAATTATTGAGATTGGTAGAGAATTGTCTATTAATAGTTGCTCTATTTGATTTAAATATATCTGTAAGATTTATCTACTTAGAAGAGTTATAATTTATGTGTTTGTAAGTCCAATTTTCAAAGACTATTTAAGGCAACTTTTGACTAATTCTTATTGCCAAACTCTCCCAAAACTGTCGAAGAACTGAGTGATAGCCAATATTAGAAGAAAATAAGATTACCAGATTATATTATATATTTGTACTTATACATACATTTTTTAAATATACATTTTCAGATTTTTATGAAATATAGTTTTATTAAAATTAATAATTTGTTTGATAGTACATCTACATATTATAATATGAAGTTAAATACATTAACTTTTTTGCGGTAGTAATGAAATTGTCTTGTAGCTATACAATTGTATGGAACATCATTGAAACCGAATTGCTATACAACTGAAAATCTTCAATTTTCAAATTGTACGAATTACTTTGTATCTTACTAAAAATATCTGATATAGATACTTGACTTTCATAGGGTATAGTGTATATTATAACATTACCCCATATTCCTCTAACAATAAAAAAGAAAAATTAAATGGTTTGTTTAGGACAGCAAAAAATATAATTCAAGAAAATTTCGATTTACCTCACATATGCGCTCGGATACTGAGATTCCATAAATGTTTGTAAGCTAAAGAATTGATTGCGAATAATTTTTTTTCGCAGAATAGCTTGCATCGTTATACTTTTCACCTTTACTTTAAACAAATATCCTTCAGCTAGTGTGGTATTTAATAGGGATAGTACGCCAATGGCACAAAGCCTACCTTTAGAAATAATAGCAACTTTACTACATAACAGTTCACATTCGGTGCTCGTGTTGGTAGATAAGAATATAGCTTTACCACTCCTTTGTAGTTTTGATATCATATTCCATAATACTCGACAACCAGCGCTATCGATTCCAAGAGTTGGATTATCTAAGTAGATTAGATGGGGGTTGCCTATTAATGCGGCGGCAAAGTTTAATCGTCTTTTGTAGCCCATTGAGTAATATCTTATTGACATATTTAAAAACTTGTTTAAGCCTAAGATTTTGGATATAATATTAATGAAATGATTTATTTTGTTGCGCGGTATTCCACGTAATAGTGAAAGAATTTTTAGAATTTCTCCACCCGTATATTCCAACATAAATAAATTTCTATCTGCTGTGTATCCGATTATTTTATAAACTTCAGCCTTTTGTGTATGGAAAGAAATTCCCTCGACAAATATTTTACCTTCACTTAATGGCAAATAGCCTATAAGCAATTTAAGAAGAGCTGATTTGCCCGCTCCATTTGTGCCAAGAAGTCCGCAGCATTCAAATCTTAAGTTATTACCAATAAATCTCTTAGGCAATTGCAAATATTTCAAGTTACTTAAAAATACCTGCTTACGGTTAAACAAAGTTCCTTTATTGTTATAAAGCCTTTTCTGTACAGACTTATACGATTGCAAATAAGTGGAGTCCTGAAGTAATCTTCATGTGTCATATGATCGATTTTAAGTTTTTCACTTATTACATTTTCTTCAACTTGAAGCATTTTATCACTATGTCGACTTTCATATTCAGCTATAGCAACATTTCTGTGATATATGAAATTTACAATTGCAATTTATTTATATTAAACTTTTTTGCTTACTCTTGTATATGTTTTAATTTTTTAGACATCTTAAATTCCGACTTTATGTACTTATTCTCATATAAAATTATTATTATCCAAGATATTGTAAATGTGAACATCAGGCATGTGATTTCTCTTTTTATACCAGTTCCCCATTGAAATGGATGAAGTGGTTCTAAGTTCAATGGGCAAGTTTTTAAAAAAGTTTAATAGTATAGAGTACATTAATAGAGTAATAATAGAGTAAAAATAGAGTAATATTACCACAATTCAAAATATTTACCACAGCAGTTAGGTGTTACTTTACAGTCCTCCATGTATTTAGATATTGTAGATATAGTTCTATCTCTACACATAGCAGATAAGTTTCCAATTCGAAAAATTTTTTCAAGCGCTCTAGTTAGTGAAATGAATGGAAGTATACAAAAAAGCCATTGGTAACTCACGTGCAGAACATCTCCTCGCCCGTAGCTTTCCTCGCCCCTGTAGAAAACTTCAAAGTGCAAACAATGACAAACAATATTTAAGAGGAGCGATATGACTACAATTCCATATACAGTTTGAGAGTCATCGAAACAAAGCGAAATTACATACGTCAAAGTCATGGTAGTTGCTCCTGATATTATGAGAACAAGTAGATACCATACTATAAATTAAAGACAATTATTAAGTTATTAATAATTCTTATTATTAATAAAAATATTATTTAGGGATGATGATGCTAAGAACATACTTGCTATATTAAATTGTCCAAAATTCGAGTAAATGAAACATATACTAATAAGCACTATTATAACGCTTTGCATTGTAATAAACACCATATTTGTTATGAATGAAGATAGCCAGTAAATAGGCTTTTTTAATCCTGATATAACTTGAAGAAGCTTAAACCCGGAAACACGTTCTTCTGTGAAATAGGTGCAACGAAATGGCCACATGATGGCAAAACAAAGTGCAACATTACGAGGAAGGGAATATCCTATCGATTCTTGACTCCATAACGTGTCCAAAGTTGGTGTGAACTTTGTATAGAAATGTAGAGGTTCGAACGAAACAGTTATATAAGAATTTGTATCATATGTTCTGCAATGCAAAATGTTTTTTCAAGAAAAATGTTTTTATTATGAAAGATGCAAAAACAAATAGAATATAGGTAAAAAAGTTGCTATTACTTACTGTGCTATAGCAGTATATACCATATTAAGACTTAGTGGAGCCGTATGCAATGGATAATTATTAAACCAAGCTGTTATTGCGTCATTTTTAAAACTCGCTGCAACTAAGTAGTCATGATTTACAAAATCGGCCCGATCTTCAATTTTTCGTATAATATATGGTTCAAAGTCATCATTTTCACACACTTCAAGCCTATGTCCCTTGGAATACCAAAATACGTTTTCTCGATACATGTCAGACATATCTGAGATCGTTGTTTCTAAATTATGCGCTGTATGTAAAACTGTTGTAGATTTTGAATATTGATTTATATTATATGTCATTGAAGTTATTTGATGACGATGAATATTTAATTTCGTAAAAAAAAGAGATAATAGCGGAAATATAAAAGGAGTAGTGAATTGTAATAAAGTCAAAGCTTTGTAGCTTTTTTGGAAAGCAGCTCGTTTTAAAACCATTGCATAGGTTTGACTGATCCACAATTGACAGCCTTTGAGTGGTTCGTACTCAAAAATGGTTAGAAATTTGCTATGTTCATGCTCATTTGAAGATATTCCACTCATTATCTGCGTATGGCGTTTCCGTTCACCAAAACTTGGTACTTCGCTACCCCTTTGCATAAATACGTCGTGTAAAGATTTCTCACTAATCGACCAACTGAGTATATTGAGAGTATCTCGTTCCGCATAAAGTTTATCAAGCAGCTCAGGGAAATTAAGCAAATACTTCTCATCAAGTATGTAGGAGATTTCGTTACCGAGAACGTATTCAGGCTGAACGTCCGGTATGTATTCTGATATTATTGCAGTAACATGTTCTGTTACACAATACGCTCCTCTAATAATTGTCTGTAATAAATAAGAAACTTTTATAACATATTGTGTGTGCGTTTATTATGCAACAAACCAAACGATAACCGCTGCAATACATGTTTTTTAAAAAGTAACTTGAACCACAGCATTGAAGTTTCCCACCAGATATCATTGCTATGCGATCACCTAAGGAATCAGCTTCATCACAAGATTGAGTAGTCAGGATAATTGTTCGATGAAACTTTTCTTCTAGCAATAATTTCCAAAGCAATTTGCGTGATACCATATCCATGCCAATACTAGGTTCATCAAGTATAACCACTTTACTGCCTCCAATTAGAGCGCAACAAACTTCCAAATATTGTTTTACGCCAGTTGACAGAGTTTGAGTAAGCCATTCACTTTTATCTGTTATTTTCATATAAGCCATATATTTCTCAACTTCCAATTGTGTACCTACAAAATCCATTCCCTTAATAGAGCAGAAAAATGAAAGCTGTTCCCTTACTGTTAGATTAGTAAATAGCATGGTTTCACCGACACTTATACCAATATTTTTTAATCCTAGTTCTGGATGCTTACATATATTATAATCATTAACAATAATTGTGCCACTTGTTGGTGGAATAAGGCCCACAATCATGGATAATAGTGTCGTCTTACCGCAACTGTTGTGTCCCATTAACACGGTGATTTCGCCCTCACACATAGTCATTGACACGTTATGTAGTACAGGTATTTTATCATAAACCTTAGTTACACGTCTTAACTCCACAACAACTTTTTTGTATCCTACATCAACTTCGATAACTTCAGTTTTACGGAAGCGATTTGTCATTTGTTCGTATGTAGAACCTGGAGTGTCTATAGTAGCAGTATTTAAATTCCATTTTTTTTTGGTAATGAAACTTATTTTTTGCACAGATAATGCGATTACCATATACACTACTGTTTGTGCTAATAAAATTAAAATTAGTGATCCTGTCCTGAATTTTGAATTTATGATTGCTGAAGCGAACAAATTTTCCCAATGTATGCCATAATTATATTCCTCATATACTTGTAGGTTGGTTAGTGCCTCTCCCATTGCCGAATTTGAAAATAGATATACATAAATCACAGATGAGAAATTTTCCGAGGAAACGTTTTTTTTTTGCATATAGGGTAAGTAAGTGATAATCCATAAAATTACAAGCAGCATATGTGAGCATTCTACACGACTGATAAAGGATAACACCAGCATGCAAAATGCAACTGATGCGAGGTTGAAAGCTGTAAATAAAAACAAAATAGTGCTCCACGAACTATCGCCACATATACCAGCGCCTTTATTCCAGTGATACTAATTAACAATATAAAAATTATATGTGTCTTTTAAGAATAAAAAATAATTAAAATACAAACCACAATTAACAAAGATACGAAGAATGAGCCAACAAACATGTTAAGAAATCCATTAAAAAATGAAACGGAGGTCTGTAACCAATAAGGTATTCCTAAATTCTTTTGTGCAGCCATTACACCTTTCTTGTCATCATACATTATATGCTATAAAATTACAAAATTATATAAATAATATTTTTATATAATTAAAAACCATTCAATATAATTATCTATACAATACATAATTATAATTATACAAACAAAAAATAGTGCTGTTTTAGAGATTTGATTTTTATGTTAGTAACACTGTTTATAGTGGCAACCCTTTTGGCAATTGCCAACTAATTTTTATTTGTATATTTTGCCGTTTCAATAGGAAGCATGACGGTCGGACTCGACAAATTCCATGATTTTATCGACATTTTTGACAATTACCCTTTCAGTGCGTAGTGCATTTTTGACATCGAAATTACCTGGCTTGCATTTTTGACTTTATCAAAGAAACTGGCGTATTTTCTCATCTTTAGCTCTCTAACAAAACTGAGTCAACCAATTACCAAACGCGGAGTACAGTTAACTACAGATACAATATTTACAGGTAGCTATTGGCAACAAAAATAATGGATTCCTTTTCACTAAACTTAATATAAAAGAACTTAAATTTTTATATACTCGAATGAATTTGATATATAAGTCGTGTGAAATATCAACCAGAGTAGCCCGCTCTGTACCCGATAGAAAATTTTATACTGCTCTACTTTAATTATTATTTAACAATAAAATATTATAAAACAATATTTACTATACTAACCTTGCTTAAATTGATTATAGGAAATACATATCCTAATATTATTGCGAGAGGAAAACTTATTTCAATTTTATTCGTCAATTCATCAAAGTCGTGTGAACTATACGGAAAACGTTGCAAATTTACATTAATAATTTCTGAAAGATTTCTTGATAATCGAATGTATGCAGATGAGATTGCATCCTGTAACGGAATAAAACCTTCGCGTACATAACCAACGTAGCCGCCGTCATTATCTTCACTGAGACGATCTTCCAACTTAGCACGTGTATCAAATAACACATCTGATTTCCAATTCCCGCCAATGAAAGAATCGTGATAGTTCCGCAGTTCGCTTGGAAATATAAGAGAAAAATTAAGTCTATTCGGATAAATACCAACTAAATATTTAGACTCGGTAGGATCCGAAATTAGTATTTCTTCGTCGAAACAAACTCCAGCCAAGTAAAAATTAACTATCATATTTTCACGCAATTGTTTGCAAGTATCGAAGGATTTCAATTCAATACGATTTAATTTTTCTGCTGCCAATTCCATTATTTGGACAAATGCTTCACGATTCCCAGGGGCATAGGAGACAATAAGTCGTGGTATATATACATCATGAGGAAAACTTAAAGGACGGAAGGCTACATTATGGTTTAGATAAAAAAAAACGACATACTTATTGATAATATCTTCAAGAGTCATGATATTATTTGATAATAACTCCAAAGTCAGATTATCCTTACGTTCTGTATACAACTGCAACATCGAAATCCATGAATCTTCCAAATCAATTGGGTCGTATTTTTGTACAGGTTGTTTTTCAACACTGATTAATATCCGCAAAACAATAAAATATAGTAGAAAAATAGATGGGGAAAATATCACTAAAATTTTAGAAACCCAATCTCGCCATTCTCTAGTTGCTAACTTAAAAAACAGAAGCCCAAACTTTTTACTATTAGAGATTTCAATTTCCTTGCCATCTTCAGGAATGTCAGAATAGAAGGTTCGTTGATATAGATCCCTTACTGGCATCGTATTGTTAAATAATTAAATAAGTACATAGATAAATATAATAAATAATTAGTGACTATTGTTAACAAATCGAATATTAAACTTAAATGAATTTATTTCTTTTATGAATATGACATATTTTTTTATGATATGATGATTGATATAACTACATACCATGTATAATATATGTACAATATTATTATATTGAAGATAGTTAAGTTAGTGCACTTGAGCACTCTTACTCTTTATTAACTGAGAGGTCTCTTCACAACCCCTCTCTACGCCTTTACTGGATTATTGTTTATCACTTCGTCAGACTTAGCAATAATTGAACTCAGATCTGCATACTTCCCCGAGGAGACTGTAACTATTCTGAGATTTGATAACGCGGTGTTCTTAAGCCTGTCAGTTTTCGTAAATAATTTCAGGGCTCTATCCTTTATGTATTTTTTGATCGGATCAACCTTGAGGTCCCTGAGGATGTCATTCGTCCTAATGTACCATGGTACCTTGAAAAGTCATCTCATAGCTTGGCTTTGTGTAATTTCTAGCTAGCGAATAGTAGTGTTTGAGGTCTTGCTAAACGCTACACATCCATATAGAAGTGACGGGCGAATTATTTGGTTATATAACTGCTTCCCATTCTTAGCATTGAGATTTTCATTTTTGAATAGTGGTTGGAAGTGAAACAGGATTTATTATTATTTATAATAATAATAATTTATTAAGTGTTATGTAATAATAAATATTGAGTCAATTTTAAAACTTATTAATAAATAAATGTATTTTAAAAAATTCTCTTTTTTATCTTTTTTATAACTGATTCTTAAGAAATAGCTACTTTCAACATGATCTTTCAGAACCAGCTTTTCACTGAAATAAGAAAATTATTCCAATCTGATTAAGTTGCTTGAAGTAAGTGATTTAAGAAGAAAATTCTTCTTCTTTCTCTTTTTCTTTTCTTCTTTCTTTAAGAAGAAATTGTTGACGGAAACTCAATAAACCCTTTTTGAGCAAATACCCAACTTTTTTTTTAAACTTTTAATTCTTTTTAAGCTTTTATTGGATCTTGACCGCACAAAAGTTGAGTACGGTATTGGGTAAAGGTCATTTACTTAATGATTCTAAATACAATATATATTTTAAACATTAAGAAAACAAGTGCTATTAAATATATAACATATTATATTTAAATTGTAACATATGATTATTTAAACAATTTTTTAAAAATAATTTTTAAGCACGATGAATACGTAGATCTTAGATTAATTAAAAAAATAAAATCCTTTATTCAACAGTACATTTCACAGGCAATAATTCATTTTCAATAATAAAGCACTCTATGTTTAGATTTAATGTATATGCTTCTATTTTTTCATAAATATATGATATCGGTCGATTTGGTATTGAATATATAAGAAGTGTATTCCAATCCTCTCTGAAAGTTAATTAAAATGTGTTAATTAAATTTAGAAAAGAATTAACTTAAATTGTACTAACATCAATTCAGAACCTGGAAATTCATCTTCCATAAATTGTCTTAAACGAAACGAATTTCGAAATAGAAATGGTGTGTAAACTCTATTTGAATGGATGATTTGTGGAGTATTTCTTAACATAATTTTTAATATTACACCTGTTGATACTTCGTTTTTAATTTGGCTTGGTACACCAATATATTGAAATTCACTTTGCTTAACTATTGCAATTTTATTACAGATCAGTTCGCATTCGTCACCATCTGAGGTCGTGAGTAGAATCGTTCTCTTGATGTCCTTTAAATGAAGCAAAATATTCCAAAGTTGCCGCTGACCACCTTCATCGATATGAATTGTTGGCTCATCGAGACATATGATAGATGTATTACCTAGTAATGCAATAGCTATGTTTAGGCGTTTTTTATGTCCATCGCTATAGGTGTTTATCTTCTCATTGTAATAAGTAAAAAAGCCTAAAACTTTTGCAAGGTTTTCACATTTTTCTTCTACATATTTATTTGGAATACCACGCAGATAAGAATGTATTTGCAGTAATTCACGACCAGTGTAATCTGGTGGAAGTACTGAATGTTTGTCAGCATAACCAATGCGTTCATATATTTCGGGGATATTGCTTTTAACCTCATAACCATCGATCATAGCTTCACCAAAATCATATGGTTCTAAACCAGCAAACATATTTAGTATACGCGTTTTACCAGAACGATTAAGTCCATACAATCCAAAACATTCAGAACTGAAATAACAAAATGTTTATTAAATTTATTTAGTTATAATGTATGAGTGTATATAGTATATATAAGTATATTCAATACAAACACTATATTTTGATAAATAATTTTCTATATTTATCTGTATACATAGAATGGAAACATATGAAAATGCACTAATTTGTGGATTTGCAATGTATGTGAATCCAAATAAATTAATTTTACAAACGTGTTGAATTATAAACTCTACGGATGTAGAATAATGGTAGTTCATGAAATATGATAGTATGAGATAAGCTTGTTTTTATGCAATAGATATCCCTTGTTATCTACAATTATACATTAAAAGAGCTATATTATAATTATGAGCTTAAGAAACACGAAACTAAGATAGAGTATTTTATTAAAGTACTCTACTCTAGGTTATTAATTTTATATTGGCTGTTAGTTCTATTATTTCTTATGTCTAGGTATTGTATACTAATTTGATGTTTTTGAACCCAATTTGATTTATGTAGAAAAAAGTCATCTTCCAATAAATTTATTCTCAAATTTGGTGAAAAACATAAGGGCGTTTTCCAGTCCTCTTAGATTTTATTGCAATCTGAAGATTCAAAATTATTTTAAATGCAGAACCATGGAAAATACTCCTTTGGCCAATTATTTTTTAATATACCAAGTGGTTGCTGGTAAATATTCCAAATATTAATAATATATATCTGTTGGAGGAGGTCGAATGCTTTATGTACCGTCAAACCGACCATCTCCAAAATGGTCCCTCCAAATTTTATGGAGGATTCCTTAAAAGTTGGCTTTTCATCTCATGTGCTTCTCATAGAACATGAGTTCAAGACCCCACTCCTGATCCGAATTGGAAAGTCTTTACATTGCTTTTCGTTTTAGATTAGTTGTAGTTTCTTTTTTCCCTAAGTACAATTCCGATAAATTGTGTGATTTTGTTCCAATTTTCTGCTCGTTCTGACATTTTTTCAATGATAGTGTACTTTCTCCATGTCATCCTTCGCAGTTGAAGAACGTATGAAAGCATATCTCTGGGGTTACTGTTACTTCTCTTGATAATAGCATGAAACAGAAATATGACTGAAGGGAACTACATTTTCTACAACTAATTAAGTTTTAGAGATATAGTGATTTAATAAATATAACTGTATATTTTCTTAGATAGACTTTTCGTTGAAACCAAGCACTTCGGTTAATATTGAAAATGGAGTTCCCCTTCTATAATTTTTTTTTTCATTTCTTGATCTAAGGAATTATGTTTTGTATTTATGTCGTATAACTCGGAAAGAACTGAAGACATTATAAGAATGAAAACTGTACTAAATATAAATCTGAAGTTGCTTGTTATAATTATCTTATTTTTTATTATTATTGTTATTGATCTATTGCAACAACTCTTATGTTTGTTTATGTTGATACTACATTTCTACAAATTTCTATAAAATTTTTTTTTTTTTTTTCAGTTTGATATATCTGCAGTCGGTTATTATTACTCGCAACCAGGCTCGTTGCCAGTGGTGTCTTGAGAGGCTGTTGCATTCTAAAATGATCGAAAGGACTATACTTGTATAAATATAAGTATATTAATTACAAATGCCATATCATTGTTGCATAAAATAAAGGACTTTCTAAAAGTCCTTCCGAAGTAAATTTCTGGCTAAGAGCTTGTCGAGCTCGTATTGTATATCTTTTTGTTGTGATGGTTGTAATTGCATTTTTTGATAATAATAACATAATATCAAAATTATTCTTATCATTGAAAATAAATGTTAAATCACCCTTCAAGTAATAAAAAAATTGCTGCATTATATGGACTTTCAGCCTTATAATTACTGTAACAGGACAGGTTGGTACAAATAAGTCGATGCTCGAAATACTGGCTTGGTTTGAACATATTTATCTTAACTTGTTCGTATACAATGGAAGGATGCAATTCACTATTTGGCTTATGATGACGCATATATGTGTTTTTAATAGATTGTCTAAAAATATAAATAGAATAGTTTGTTAATTATATTATAAATTAAGTCGAAGTAATTTAATAAAACCTACAAAGCTTTTTTTTTATTTGGTTTGGACACTAAGACTTTCTTTTTGTTAATTATCCACACGCAAAGTAAGCAGATTATTCCATTAACTATTAATGCCGAAATTTCAGGTAAGATACCTTCTTCCCAACTATTTAGAGAATATTTCGCTTAAAAAATAGAAATTAAATAAAATCACAATACAGTTTTAAATACTATTATTAAAGATTTTACTCACTGCAACAATTTGGCTGCGTTGTGCAATGATGCAAATAAATTGAAAGTTCCTGGACTTGAGTATATTCACACTGTTTCGTAATCCCATCAATTAACAAGACTTTTGTTATTGCAGTACATAAGGAGTAACATGGCATAATGTGTAGAATGGTGCGTGAGTCCAGAAAAGAACCTGTATCTCCACGGTAGATCGAATGACGAACCTCATTAACGGTAAAAAAACATGCTATTCCAAATAGATTGAAGGTAACTAGTGTACTATAGGCCCAATGTTTATTTTTGAAGAATGTTGAGACAAGAAAGTTCCATAATGTGACAGTAACACCAGTAAGCAGCGATAAGAGAAAAATATAAACTACGAAGATAAAGAGAGTTTCTTATTATTTTTTATTAAGCAAATTAAAAAAAAAAGAATAAAAACTTTATGAATCTGTAACTTACACGGTGTTTCTTTTAGAACGAGTTGATCCAAATTTAATAAATACATAAGTATTACAACTATTAAAGACGACAAAAGAACCACTGTTATTAAATCATATACGTAAGTTACTCCCCAGAATGACCAAAAGCGTGAGCCAGATATATATTGCATTTTCTTGAAATTCGTATTTCGTTCTTTTATGATAGCAATCACCCTTAAAGGCCATATAATGCACATACAAAGTCCGATGAATGCGGCTTGAAAGTAAGTCCAGCTAATATGTGTTAGTATATTAACCGAATTCTGATTGTATATGGGATCTAGTGGTTCCAGATTTACTGTAATTACAGCGTTTGTATCATATGCAGCGCTAGGAGAAACATTTGTAATTTATTTGAGAATATATATGAGGGATGATTTATTCCTTAAAGCATTATTAAATAAGATGGTTACACTTTGTCCAAGAAAAAAAATTATAGTGTTTCTAAAATCAATCAAGATAGAGTACTGTAAAAACTTTTAAAAGATCTTCAAATATTAAATATTCAAAGTTGATATACTCCAAAATTGATGTAAATTTCTTATTCTATATTAGATTGGGTATGATTCCGATTTCCCGGACGTAGCAATTATCAACGACTTTTATGAACTTTACAATTCACTATTGTACAATTTTTCAATCACATTGTATGTTAATATAGTTTAGTTTTCGAGATGTTGGGCTCATAGGTTGTAAATTTTTGCGGAAAAATACAAACAACATGTAGACACTACAAATGGTATTAATTGTCCTTTGTGCAATCAATATAAGAATTGGAAATCGAAATCTTCTTTTTTTGTTCTTATTAGAACTACACTGTACGGTAATATAACTTAGTTTTCGAGATATTGGGCTCATAGGTTGTAAAATTTTGCGGAAAAATACAAACAACATGTAGACGCCACGTATGGAATTAATTGTCGTTTGTGCAATCAATATAAGAATTGGAAATCGAAATCTTCCTTTTTTGTTCTTATTAGAACTACACTGTACGGTAATATAACTTAGTTTTCGAGATGTTGGGCTCATAGGTTGTAAATTTTTGCGGAAAAATATATATGGTATTAATCATAGTTTGGTGTTTCGTAGAATGATTCAATATGAACAACTTTTGTAATAGGCGTACATTTATGTCTCGATGTTTCTTTTTCAGTTTCTATCTTGGTTCAATATATAAAATGGACCCATTCTGATTCATTAATGAGATGAATATTAATTAATTTTGTACATACTTATATTTATTATTATTATGAATATAAATTTATTTTATACATATTTATACTTCTATCAGAGTTAATACAAAATGTATACAAAAAGATCTTATTAATGAATTATATTATTCAATAAGTGAAAATTGGTTTATTTATACATACTGTAAAAGTGAGTTGTGTACCAAATTCAAACTCATTGGTGCGGAATGCAAAGGAAAGCTGTTAAACCAAGCTTTAATAGTTTTTGGTGTTAACGATATGCCAACTATATATTCTTCATAAGATTCTAATTCTTGTGTCTCAACTATATGATTGGGAATATCAATGACTTCTTTGACTTCATGGTTTCCTTGTGACCAAAATATATTCTGAAGGTAACATTCTTTAACACTTTCTGTGAAATTATTTTGATTTTTGGTACTTAAAATAATATGTGAGTTCTTGTAAAGGGATGGACGAAAAGAAATCAGGGGTTCTTTTTGTGGTACTCCACCAACAAAACAATAAGTCATAGCAGTAAATAAGATAGGTACTATACTCGTTAATAGTATTGGATATTTACTACGTATTTCATATATAAAATCTTTTAATAGGATTGCGTATATTTGAATAAATATTAAACGTATTCCTTTCAACGGATGATATGGATTTAAAAAAATAGGATCTTTATCTTCTATCCAGTTCATACATTTCCCATTTAGTATTTCACCGTATCGATGTATGTCACCAATACTTGCATTTTCGACACCTATGTCAAGAAATATTTCTCCAAGTGATGGCTCAGATAACGTACAATACTCAATATTTAATAGATTCGACTTGCTTTCCAAATCTTTTAGTATGGCCACATATACATCAGAATTTCTTTGTTCAAGTTGATATATTAGTTGTGTGCCAAAATCAATTATTGGTGTTATATTTGGTATATGAACCGAAACGACATTAGTGACATCTTCTGTAATACAGTATGGACCTTTAACGCACACCTTTAAACAAAAAAAGAAATAATAAAAAAGAAATATATTATAATACATATTTTGAAATGATTTCCTATGGAAGTAATCTAGAAGGTTAACTTAACTGCATTGCAGGGGTAATGTAACATTAAAGGAACTATTTTCATGGGTGCAATACTTTTAACGCCCGATAAATTCAAAAGATAATTTTTTTTGAGGTGGCATTTGATATATTCTTATTTTATTTATCTGCACTTGAGACAGAGTAGTTATGAAATTAAAAGGACCTTTCTTAAGCTATGTTTGAATTAGAAGAAGTTTAATTGATCAGCAAGAGTTATTATTTTTCAATTTATTCTATAAAAACTATAACAAATACTAGTACAGTCAGTAGAATAATAAGATGTAAAATGTCAAATAATAATCTTCATATGGTTCTGTCTTAAGTTTCCATCTTATTGGGAGCAAAGTAAGTTTTTCATGTATTGAAGATATTGAAGTTCAAGAACTAAGTATGAAACAACCTTAGATGGGTTTTATTGTAAAAACCCTGTTGCTATGTTGTTATCCTTCTTCGGGATAGAGGTTAAAATATTGCCGAGGTAAGGTATGCCTACCGTAAGAGGTGACTAAAATTCATTAGTCACCATGACACTGTTTGGAATATAACTCGTAGTTAGAGAGTTTCGGCGACCTCAGATTCGGTGGTCGTGACCAATAGAGCTTGGCCCTTTAAAGGCATTATCGTAGTGACTTCGGAGATAACCCAAATTTCCGCGAGTAGAATGTCTGTATTCATTTACTTTAACTAAATGTGGAGTGTCGTTATCCAATCGGTTGTTGTGACCTAAATAATAGCAGAAGTGTTGGTTACATCCTGATCTCTTCCAAGAAGTTAATTATATCCAAATGTATAGCTTCAATTAGTACCGGCAGAGTTCTTTGAAATTCCAATCACTATTGTGATGAAAACAGCGTAAGGTAGATCTCTAAGCAAGATATTTTGAATAAATAGAGATAAAAAATATAAACTTTGAAATATAAAAAATAAATATTTAGTTATTGTATTCCGTACTGTTAAAAGGAACTATCTGTAGTAAAACATTTTTGCGAGAATATTCTGTTTATAATTTTGTATTTGAAATAGTTTTTTTGTTCAAATGAAAAGAAAACTGAACTTAAGAAATCAGACACTGAGATTCTTCTCTGGAATTGAAACCAACAAAATTTTAAATTAATTATAAAAAAATCTAATTAACATATAAGGGTAAACGAAAGTAAGTGGAGGGATTTTTTTTTGTGGTAAGGAGGTGGAATTTTTTATGCACTGTCAGGCCGACCGTCATCGGAATGGTGCGCCCGCCTCCCCCAGTCGTGATATAAATATATTCAAAATATTTTTTTACAAAACTTACCAATCGCATACCCTCTAAATACAGGGATTTTAAAAGTGATAACCTTCCACAACACTGTAGATCACCTTCGGACATTATAGCAATCCTATCAGCTAAAAGTTCAATTTCACTGCTTGAATGTGTTGTCAACACAATTGTGCGCTTCTGCTTTTCTATCCTCAATAAACGCCAAAACATTTTGCGTGTGCATATGTCCATACCGGATGTGGGCTCATCTAGCACAACTATTTTAGTTTTTCCTATAAATGCACAGCAAACAGCGACATTAAGCCGCATTCCATATGACAGATTCTTTACTCGTATGTCCTTCCAATCTGTAAGTTTCATATGATTCATATATCGATAAGCCTCAGATTCGCATGTTAAACTGTCGTAACCTCTGGCTTTGCAGAATAAGGTTAAATTATCGTAAGCTGTTAGATCATTAAACAGTATCCGGTCCTTAATAGCAACACCTATGTTTGTTAGCAGTTCTGGTTTTGTATGTACATTGACATTTTGTATATATATAGTACCAAATGTTGGTTCTATTAGACCAGCTAACATATACATCAACACTGTTTTTCCAGAACCATTATGACCCATTATTGCAATTATTTCATCCTCATACAAAATTTCTGAGAAATTCCTTATAATAACTTTGTCTTCGTTTAACCAATTTAATTGGTCTAATTTCATAATTGCAATTTTATTATTCGTTTCTACTTGAATGATTTTAGTTTGGCGTGAGGCTGAACTACGTTGTTCGGAACTACGACGATTAGTATGGCAAAAGCCATTAATCATATAATACCACTTTAGCGGTTTTCCGAAAAATCTTGGTCTAATTTGTTCAACGTAAAATCCAATGCACAAGAAAATGATGCTATGCAATAGAAACAATATTATATACATACCGACGCTATCCGGTTGGTCAAAATTCTTTTCAACACGGAAGAAATGCTTCCATTTATAACCAATGGCACGTCTTTCCATATTAATTACATTATCAAGTGCCAGACCCATGGAGGTATTAAAAAATACATATCTTAGTATTGCCACATATGTGTGACCCATGCGATTGATTATTTTGACATATGGTATGTAGGTAAATAACCAAGTTACACCTCCAACCGTTACTGCCATGCTCTTGTTGGAGAAAAGAGTAGCGAGCATGAAACAAAAGCATAAAGTCACTAAATTATAGCATAAAAAGATCAAAAAAATATCACCCCAGGTACTTCTGGTAAAAATTGCATATCCGTTATTCCAGTGTATCTGAGAGTATTCTTTAAAATGAATATGATAAATTACGATATGGAAATAGCTTACTTACTTTGACAAGTATTACTAATAATAGGCTTCCAAGAAACAATATTGCAAAAGATCCTATAAACCAAGCCCAGAATTGTTTAACATGTGAAAATCCCAGATTATTCATTACTGTTTTATTAATTGGTCGTTCGGAAACTAAAAACTTTATGAAAATGTTAACATATTCTTGTTAACAGTAAAGGATGAAAAACTGATACAAAACGAAATCGTACCTGAATGAAGAATAACACCGGAAACATATAGCCTAAAATAACAAGAAAGGACACACTTATATTCATGCTATTTTGAAGCAGATCTATATCATGCTGTTGATGAGGAAATGGCTGTAACGCGATTTCTGGCAGAGCACTTAAATTCGTTATTAACTTAATGTAAGATACAGATATCTCATTTTGTAGGGGAATAAATCCTTCAGTTATGTAGCCATAGTTGTTTTCTTTATTTGTGTTACTAAGTCGATGTTCAGCTCTTATTGGAAGGTCATACAATCTGTTTGTTTGCCAATCAAAACCAATTAAAGTATCATTACTCATTCTGCGTTCATGAGGAAAAACCAAAGAATATTCCAATCGATCAGGATATGTTACTGTAGAACTGTCAAATAGATCTTCTGCAAAACACACTCCAGCCAAGAAATGCTCTTTGGTCATTGTCGTACGCAATTTATCGCAGTTTGAAAATCTTCTGAGCCGTACTCCACCTAGGTCGGTAACTGCTCTGTTCATGATTTCGCCGAATAACTTAAATCTTTTAGGTGCATATGCTACAATAAGTTGGGGTATATACGAGCTATGTTCAAAGCTATAAACAAATTGTTAGTAGATACAATAACAAATATAGATTTTCGCCTAACCTTGGTATCTTCGTTTTCATTTTCGCTTTTTGTAAGTTCACATTTTCCAATACTGTCTTCCATTCATCGTGCATGATGAAGGGTGCATGCAGAACTGCCGGATAAAAATCTACTGGAACAATACAACGAAACATGACCAATAATAATGTGAATATGGAGGGTGCGGATATTAATACTAATAACACGTAGGGTTTGGCCATAATTATACACTTGTTTTTCCATAATAGTAAAGATATTTTCTTAAATGTTGACAGTTGACGACCCATTAATATCGGATTAATTATTTGTTTTCACACACTGCAATAGAAAATACAATAAAAATTAGATTATAATTAAATTTGACATACGGTTTCTAAGATTTACTTGTATTTTAAATATAATTTAATTTAAATATTTATTTTACTTGTAGGGACCATGTTCTACAGACAGTCAGTCGACGAATGGTTACAACGATGTGACGTTCTTTTGGTCATAACCAAAAGGCATGTTATATTAGTTAGTCATCTGAAGTGTAGGGAGGAATGAGTTCTCCTCTAATTCTCCGCTAAACTAATTAAGTCACTTTAAAACCACAATTACTCGTAATGATGGAAATAAAGAATGTTGAACTAGAACCAGCCTAGTCATTTAGAAAAGTGAGAGTCTGGCCAATGCTAATACTGGAGGTATCGCTGAGTGTGTTAAAGGAAAGGGAATCACCAAAAAAGGGACTTATACTTTTCTATGGTACAGTGCCTTGTAAAGACAGATGTTAACCCATATATCTCTGATTTTCTTCTGTGTAAGACATGTTAAATCACAACTGTCTACGTAACTAATATTTTGATGTCCTCTTTTTTTGGTCATATATGTATATAAAATTCATATATATATACATATATATTGTAAATAAATACAAATCTACGGCAAAGCCTAAGTTCACGTGGTGGAAGCGTGTGAATGGTGTACCAAGATTTAACAATAAAATAATTAAATATGTTTAAAATCTATACGTATAAATAATATATATATGTTTATAAAAAAATGAATATACTAATATGTATACTAATTTGGGGACTACAAGTACGGTTAGAGACATTGATTAAGCCAATACATTTATCTTCTAGCCCATTCTTATGTGCGAAAACAAAAACACTTCTCATCAACGTGTATAATAAATAGCCTTTTACTATCGTTGGTAATACCTTAGAGGACGTCAACAATTTCTGCTACATTGGTAGTGTTACCGCCAGCAATGGTAAAAGCAGTGCGGATATCGCCAGTCGCAACCAAAAAAACAAAACCAGCGCATAGGCGATTAATGCCAGTATGAAAGTCTTGTAACCTGTCTTCCCGCACTAAATTGAACATTTATAACTCCAGCGTCAAATCGACAATGTTGTATGGATATGATTAGTGCAATGCAGTATTACGATATAAAAGCTGCAAGCCTTCTCCAATTGGTGTACAATCGGTGAAAAACAAGCTCTTAAAACCAAAGAAAAGTTTTTCTGGATATTCTCATACGTAACTTTAGCTAGTTGGGCCACACAGTATGGAGGTCTCAAGTTGATATTACTCGCATGGCCATAGAATGGAATCCACAGGTAAGCCAACGAAGATTGTCGCCTCATACGTGGCGCAGGCATCTTAATCTTGAAACTGCTAGGATTCGAAAAACCTTGCGAGAAGTGTAGAACGTTGCCCTTAACATAACAAAATGGAAAAATGTAATTGTGGTCCTTTACTTCTCGTAGATCTACAGGTATTAATTTATATATAAATATGTAATAATTTAGAAACGAACAACAATACGATGAATGGATTTTATAATATATTTTATAAAGGAATCCACAGGTAAGCCGACGAAGAGAACAGTCGCCCCATACATAGCGCAAGCAACTTGGTCTCGAAGTTGCTAGGACTGGAAAAATCTGGAGAAGTGAAAGCGATTGCAACCAACAGAATGTAATGGAAAAATCTAATTGTGGACTTTTGCTCTTTATATAATCTACAGGTATTAATTTATATATAAATATGTAGTAATTTAGAAACGGACAACAATACGATGAATGGATTTTATGATATATTTTATAAAGGAATCCACAGGTAAGCCGACGAAGAGAACAGTCGCCCCATACATGGGCAAGCAACTTGGTCTCAAAGTTGCTAGGACTGGAAAAATCTGGGGAGAAGTGAGAAAAATCTAATTGTGGACTTTTGCTCTTCATAGGATCTACAGGTATTAATTTATATATAAATATGTAATAATTTAGAAACATACAACAATACGACAAATGGATTTTCTGTACTTTCTATTAAATTCAAATCAATCGATCTGAGTTATTTATAAATAAATGCATTGCATAAAACTCTTTTGCATTTGTCATTTATATAAAATTGTTTAATTGGCAATTAATATTCATAACAATAACAAATAAACTGTAAGTAATGAAAAACAATCAAATCAGACAAAATACATTGCAGCGGAACGAAGCGTTTATGCAAATAAAAAAATTAAACTAAAAACAATTCAAACGCCGCATATAGATTTGAACTTGAAATTACTTTGAGCGCAGCGAATAACGCCGCAAAGAGAAAAAGCTTTAAAGCGCATGACGTATGAGAAAATTGTGCTTAACACACGCAATAGTATGTTGAACAGTGCTTATCAAACTGTTCTTCAACAACAGCACGGTATATTGTATGGTTGCGTGTAATAACACAACTTTTGCGGTGTTTATATTTCATATGTCATTGTGTAAGTGTTGGTAACACTGTTTCGTGCACAACAAACTGGATTTTGTTGTCCAATTTCAAGTTCAGTGCGAATCGGTCATTCGAATTGAAAAGTTGTGAGTTGTGGTATAAACGCTTTTTGTGTCAAGAATTTAGGCGAAGCGTGTGTTTTTGACGTAATTGTGTATGTTATTAATGTGTTTACAAGTTTAATAAAAGCTAATGAATATAAGTTTTTGCGTTTTCTTTTTAACGCTATTAAAAAATTAGCATTTTTTGTGCAAACCAAAAATGTGAATTTAATACAAAAATAAATATATATATATATATATTTATATATGTTTTCATTAAAAAACTTACTGATTAAATAATAAAAATCAAGTATTATTTCTTTAGAATTTTAAAGAAATTACGGTTTTTCTTATGTTCCGTTGCATGTGCGTTGGTGTGTTTATATTTGAAGTGTTAATTGATTTAAAAATTAAAAAAAATATTTTACATTGAAGTTTCGTTTTTTATTGTTTTTATTTTATATACTTGAGTTTGTCTTTGTTTTGGTTTTATTGCAGAAATAAAACCAGTTTTAAATAAAAACTAATTTGCCATCACAGTAGCTAAAATAGTTTTTCTATTATTTTAATTTTATTTTATGAACTTCTTCCCTTGACGTAGTCGGGACTTATAGATAACAATTTAATTTTTTTTCTATACAAAACTAGTTGATCTCTTATAAGAATTGTTTGCTCTAATCATTCATTATCTTCTATAATAAATAATAAAGATTTAGTCAAATGAAAAAAAAATTTTCAAAGCTGAGGGTATTAGTTTTAGTGAAGTGAGATGATTTTAAAGAATTTCGCATGATTTTTGTAAATATTTAATTTGCCACGTCAAGTTAATATTTTCTAATCATTATAATTATTTTCTAATAAATATTTTTAAGTCTTAAATGAAGATATTCACCAACAATATTTTTAGTTGAATAACAAAGTATTTTTAGTTTAAAATTTTAAAATTTTTATTAATAATAAACAATAATAATAGATAACATATTAATCTGTTATATATAATAAAAAAATATCTATACAAATGAAAAGAAATTTTAAATATTTAATAAATTATTAATATAATCAACGAATATTCTACCGGCATATTATATATAAAATAAAAATTATAATAACTTTTAATTTGTTAATGTACTATATTAAAAAAATACATATATAAATGTATGCAAATTTTATATTGTATTTAGAAAAACAATTTTTAAATTAAATAATCAATATTTCATTAAAATATTATAAATATTAATAATAAATATTAATCTCTTTATTATAAATATTATTTATATATCAATATTAATATTTTCTGTTATTTATATTATTATTCATATATTGATATTAATATTAATTGTTATTAATATTATTATTAATATATTGATATTAATATTAATATTAATTATCATAACATTAATATTAATTAAATTTCATATATATAATGTGTAAAGTGCCAGTAGAATATTCATTTATTCAATTAATGATTAGTAAAATACATAAATTTACATTAATTATTTTATACACCTTTATTTATAAAAATATTTTATTTAATTTATTTTATGCTATTTTAATTTAAGTTTATTTCATTTCATTTAATTTTATTTTATTTATTTTTATTTTTAATTATTTCAATTAATTTTATTTAATTTTATTTAAGCTTATTTCATTTAATTTTATTTAATTTTTTGATTTAATTTGATTTTATTTTTAACTTTTTTAATATAATTTGTTTTATTTTGTTTTTTTTATTTCGTTATATTTTAGTTTATTTCATTTTCTTTTAGTTTATTGTATTTTATATTAATTTGTTTAAGTTTATTTTAACATATTTTATTTTCTTTATAAATTAAAATTATTTAATTTCATTTTATTTTACTTTATTTTACATCACTATTCTTTTTTACTTTTTTATTTTATTCTGTTTTATTATATTTAATTTTATTTCATTTTTATTGTTTTTTAATATTGTCATTATTTTATTATTTATATGTAATATCGTATATTATATTAAATTCTTTTTATTCTGTTTTATTTTATTTTATTTCGCTTTGTATTAATTTGTTTTATTTCATTTTATTTCACTATTTTTTGTGTTATTTTGTTTTGTTTTGTTTTCTTTTATTTCATTTCAATTTATTTCGTTTTATTATAAGTTATTTTTTTGATTTATTCGATTTTATTTCTTCGAATTGTAATATATATTATTTTATTTGATTTTATTCGAATTGGTTTTACCATATTTTGTTTTATTTATTTCACTTTATTTTATTTTTTTTCATTTTATTTTATTTTTTTTATTTTATTTTTATTTTATGTCAGCTTATTTAATTTTTTCTTATTTTATTTTTTACAGTTTGTTTTATTGATCCATTTTACTTTAATTTATCTTATTTTTTTTTTATATTTTATTGCATCTTTTATCTGTATTATATTATTTTATATTATATTACTTTATTATATATTATGTTATTTTATTTTTTTTTTTACTAGTTCTTTGACAATTATTTAATTTAACGTATATATCGAAGCACAGTTAAGTACTGACTGTATGCATAACTGAAGCGAGATGATTTATTTCGTTATTTTGCTGTAGTCAATTTAACATTAGAATAATAAATAATAAATAATTATTAAATAATTTTATAATGACAACTTTTTTACTGTCTGGTATAATTATTTCAGTTAAGGACTTTTTTATATAATTCTTATTTGCTTACATAATTTTTATTAAGTATATAATATTTTATTTTTATTGCCCATTTACAATTTCCTGTGTTTTTATGTAATGTAAAAAAAAAAAACACCGAAACAAATTTAAATATTCGTAGTAAAAAAAATTTATAAGGACTACAGAATTGCAAAAAGCAACAATCAAAATAATAAACTCGGTTGTTTCGGTTTGTCGAGTCCTTAAAAGACGCAGTGGCGCACACAGTTTCCTTATGACGAATGTTGCAGATTTCCATTTAAAAACTATTCATTGCTTTTAATGCAAATCGCAGCGCGACGACATTTTTGGAGCACGGCACAGATTGAACCCCAACGGAGGCCGGAGTAGGTCAGGTCAGTGCATTTCTTTAATTTTTCATACGCAAACGCTTTGTTTTTTTTTTGTTTTATGTATTTTGGAGCTATAAAAATATCCATTTAAATTATAAAAATTTGAAAAAATCTTTTTTAACAAAATTTAATTTGCAATTAATTTTTGTTTGGAATTTTGCACGAACGGAGTGTGGCCTTAAACGTGTTTATCATTAAAAAATGTAAACTGAAAAATAATTCAAATATATTTTATTTATTTATTGATTATTTACTTTACTTGCTATTTTCATTGAACAGTTTTCTATGGGAAGTGTCAATTCTCAAAACCTCTACAAATTACCGGGTTGTCAATGAGCATTTGTTAACATTTCAATATTTATTTATTGTAGATATTATATTCAGTACTTCAAATGTAAGCTTAATATAAGGATTATCAATTCAACTTGATATATTTTTCCTAACAAATTTTCCTACTATCTTTAACCCATTCTTATAGTATGTAGTCTTATGGTAAGCTCAGTAAGATTACCGTTTAATTTGATGTGAGTTTCGGTCCCGGCAAACTGAGTTTTGACTTTATAAACGACAATTCCGCATAAGAGGCATATATTTCAAAGAGTGCGAGATTTTAAAGAGATTTTTGAATTTTAACCACAGTAGCACTGCTAAAGTATGAGCCCTAAAATCTTTCTTATATATGCCATGATTAACATTCAGTAATATTATTATTGTTATTATGCGACCAAGAAATTTATTGTGCCCATGACCTTAGACTAGTTCTCCAAGACCAACTTTCCTAAAAATTGTTGCCTTAAATCTATGTTACGAAATTTTTTTTTGTGTCTAATATGAGATGCCCACATAGGCACTTCGTCCGTTTGTGCATTGGTGGCGGGTATACGTGTTTTGTGGTCTTGTTATTTTCCCAATAAAAGCTACAAGTCGCCAGTTTTGTAGAGTGTAATTGTATTATACCATATGATCGGTATAAAGTTTTTTCAAACACATGTCACAACAGCAATGACTACACCAGCTAACAAAATAGGAAATAGGATTATAGTCTTAGGATTATAATATTATACACATATTCGGTGCTATTATAATAGTGGATTAATCATGTTTCATCAGTAGTTATATGTTATTATTAATCTGTTCAAAAATTCAATTTTTCCAGAGCGTTTTTAAATTATTAATCTACTAATTTGATTGTTTTTCTGTTTTCGATTCTTATACCACTAAAAAGAAATTCAATTTTGTTTTTATTTTTTTTAGACTTGCAATTTTTTAGTACATTTTTTCGATTGTTCTTTGCTTGCTTGAGTGCCTATCTTCTTCCTTCATCAGTTTATATGAAAGTTTTTTTTTTTTTTGGGTCTTTGAAAGTGAGTCTTTGAATTGTTTAGTGATTGTGTTGTTGATTGAATATTAGTAGCCGCGGTTCTAACAACGTAGAGTTCTATTTTAAACTTAAAGTTGAATACAGCATTTTCTAAAATCAGTCAGGTGGGGGGACTATGGTATCTCATATTTTAATGTAACGATCATCGACCATCATTTAATGCACTATTTTTTATATTAATTTTTCTCTGTGGTTTAGTAATAGGATCTTGGCCAAAAACTCCACCAATATCATTAACCACGCACCGTACTCTCAAGACAGAATTTGTATGATAGTGTTGCCAGCGTGAAAATAAAAAAAATTTACCTATTGGATAAGCGTGGGAATTCAAAAATAGGCCTCTCGTTTCAGAGTGTTTCGTTAATGAAGTATCAACAATCTATTTAATTGGTTTTAATATTGTGATGGTTCTTAATATAAAAATCTAATATATAAATATCTGCTTTGTGGTACAAAAGAAAGTATCTTTTAATTCAGCTTTAAATTTAAGTTGTTAAGTTTGCGTTTCATCTATTTTTATTTATTATTTTTTTTTTAATTTTCGTGTATTTATTTGAGTTGAAATATAATTAAATAAGGGAAGCAACAAGATAATTACAATAAAATTTATTGCAACTGAAAGCAACTAAATTAACTGACATGAAAAAGCACAAGGATAATAAGGTCAATGCAAGGAATGCACACATATAAAAACCACAAAATAAATTCATTCTTGTTTTTTGCACAGAATTTTACACAATTTTACGAAAAACTATACACAAACAAATGCACACACATTCTTCAGCACAACGAAACGAACGTACGAAACGTATGTTACGTATACGTACCAACTTCAGCTGTTAATGTGTGAGTAGAGTGGCAGTAAACATTCTGAAATGCAGCAACAAATGTATGAGACGTATGCTTGCAGCTTAAATGTATTGTTTCATATGTCAAACGCTGATATGCTGGCAGCGAAGTCAGCGCCAATGTAAAGCATGCAGCGTGCTAAATATATGCAAGCAGAGTATGTACAACGTACATACATATTATCGAATTGTTAAAAAAAGAAACTACAATGTAAACAAAACAATGATGTGTGCATGGAATAATGCGGCAAAATGCTGCCAAAATAGCAAAACACGTAAGATTCGTTGCTGCCGCATACACAAGCATAAGAATGTGCCACAACATTGTGTGAAAGTACACAAACTCATGCACGTCGTGCTGTTGCGAACACTTTAATGCTTACAGTGAGTCTGTTCAGTGTGCTCATTTATTGGAAATAGTAGACCAAAGATATTTAAGGGTTGGCTAACAGAATGACTGCAAAACGCAATGAATTTTTTCTCCTAAACACAAATATTCAAGGTTTTTACTTCAAGAAAATCTGAAGAAATTCAAATTTTGCAAACTTAAGCATATAAAAGCATTGCAGTTGTTATTTTGGTATAACCAAAATTCAGTTTTAATGGAGATTCACAAATATAAGACTATTTTGATTGGTATTACATTGGATTCGGGGCTAATTGAGTTTCCAGCTTAACCTAACCTAACATTTGGATGAATATTATAATATCTCTTAATTCAATGCCATTTGATCTTATTGGGTTCAATGAAAGCTGTATAAAGATATTGAACTTATGTTGCGATAAGCATAGTGTATAAACAGATAATATGGGTAAACATTTGTTTCACTCTATGTTTCAAAGCTACCGCAGGTGTCATTGCCTTTTAATCCCAACCTTGAGAAATGGTAGTTAATAGCAGGAACTAGATATAAAAAACTAGCGATTAACTTAAGTTCAGATCTATTTGAACTTAGAAATCTTTCAATATATTTATTCCGTACTAAATTTTTGGCTCTGGATACTAGTTTTTTGAACCAATTGTATTGATAAATATATACTAAAGTCTTTGTCAATTAAATAAATTAACGTGAAGTATTATAAATTATTTAAAACAATTTAATTCATTTATTTGGGATAGCATAAAAATAAAATAATGTGATGTGTAAATTAGAAACATGTCGCGGGCCGTACAAATATTAGCATGAGGCCTACGGGTTATGCTTTGGGCGGTTGTGTTGTGGGGTAGTTAAAAAATGAGATACAGGGTTCAATCAGAGTTTTTGTATTTGAGAAGGATTTAAAATAGACATGTACTCAATAAAGAGGTTTTTCAAACAGTAGTGAAATACAACAACAATTAATTGAATTTTTGGCTGACCATACAGCTATTTCGAGTATTGCCAAATACCCATCATCAATACCCATCAGTGGTCTTGGAAATAATTCTTCTTTTTAATTATTCGTAAATAATTTTTTGAGACTGCAAGTACCAGGAATCGAACTCGTCCCCTGCCAAATTTGAAGCTCAGAGTCAGCGCACTTTAACCAACCAACTGACAACTAATTTTAATAGTCAGTTTTGGTAAGAGTAAAGTATTTTACTAATATAAGTGAAAGCGGTTCTAAACTTTCATTGTGCAAATTTCTAAGTTTTTGATAATAAAAATATATTTACACAAATTGAAATTATGTATACTCTGTTTTATACCAACATCAGCTATATTTACTTTAAAAGAAAATTCATAAAAATTAAAGATTGACGTATGAGTGATGAGAAATGAGATTCACGTATGCATATTACATGTGTTGACAAGATACCAGAAGGAATACACATAAAATTTAAACAATACACAAGCAACAATAAAGCAGAATTGGCCACATTTGATAAACAAAACACAAAAGGACAAGACAAGCAAATTTTGATCCCATTGGGGTTTTCAAGGAATACGTATGTCTATCAGACATTTTTGACAATTTTTGCTGCTGAAGCCGTTTTTGCTGCCTGTTATACATTGTAGAATGCGAAAAATTTCATAAATGTTTATAAAAGTGATATGAGCAGAAGTTTTGCAAACAAATAAGCAGACAAACGGTCCGACAAACAGATACACTTACATATTATTTGCTTCTAAACCAAAAAAAAAAAATGCTTGAGTCTCAGTTTTTGGCCAAAAATGTTAGTGGAGCACAAGGAAAACCTACGAGCAGTTAGAGCATCTGCAGTGAGGTGGAAGTAGATATGTGAGGAATGTTGTGGGTCTTTCTTATTTGGCTACTCCATTTCAAATTGTGCATACACGCAGTAAAAGTAGTGAGCAAAGGCATTGGTCTTTACAAACCAATAAAACTGCTAGATGTGGCTTATTCCTTGTATGTTGACTTAGCTTTTGTGTTTACGGTGATATTTAAGGCCTTGGACTTTTTTATCTATTGAATTTGAATTGAGATGGATTTGAACTAATATATTTGTGCTCACAAAAATATATAAAACATATATTTAATATGGTAATATTTGTTCAGTTGAAATGAAACACTGAGCTCAGTTGCTTTTGTTAGCTGTACAAGCTAAAAAACGTTTATGTACATATCTTTCAATCTATCGTATAATACATAATACTCATATTACAAATGCTAAAAAACCTCATGTGAATTGTTGACTTTTATAAAAATCTTTATTTTGCTTTCGAATTTAATTGTTCGTTTCACTTCATGCATTTTCTGGTTTTGTTACTAATTTCATTACTTCAATTGATGACATCACTCTGCGATTTCGTACTTTTGTTCCATTGGGT